CCATTGCCACTTGAGGGATTTAATTCTGTTAATGGCATCTATTACCTGAATCTTTTGTCGTATGCACATATATTATGGTCTTTCTTTGTTATTACTAGCATATTTCGTTCCATATGGAGCATTATGTGATATGATATGATTTAGTATACAGGGTGTCCCAGGCTGAGCGTGCATTAGAAGTTTCTAGAGAACTACAACATCTATCTCGGAGATTTTTTGCATATTATAGTTTCACAACGAGATCTATCGATTAAAAATATTTTCAATATGGCGGCACTTCCGGAAATACCGGAAGTTGACAGCAACTTTCTTATTTTAAATGGGTCGGATGTTGATGACAGATAGTGTGGGATTTCCACCCACTAAAAAACCTCATCCTTTTCTTCACTACATTGGAACTACCGGTCAGTATTACTTCAGAATGCAGCTTTGTCTTCTATTTAATCCTTCTGTCTTCTCTTCAGGTCTGCCTCTTTTGTTTCTAATATCTTTTTTCAACAGCTTGGTGATTCTCCTATTTTAAACCTATAGTGGTATGACATAAAACAGCCATGGCCGCTTATCAGTTGTGTTAAGAAGAAATTCATGTTTCCGTGCCTTCTATTAAACCAAGGTCGTATATCTGGGATCAGTCTTCTTGTCCAAATTCGAACACTACTCGTTTCCATCCATCTTTCTTGCCAAACATCTAGGGGGCGATGTTTTTCTAATTTTTCTCTCTGTAGACACCGTACGAAAAGCACAACATTTTAAATGGGTGCCCCCATTTTTTATTATGTATTTAAATTGTCTGTAAAATTTTATGAATTTTGATATTAAACACTCTATATCTAACATTGACCGTTTTTGAGAAAAAAATATTTAAAATTTTTGAATGAAAAAACTGCCTGTCAAAAATATGTGTATAGCCTAAACGTCAAATTTAATGTTTACCACAGCCACTGTGCCATAAAGAGAAAACATGTGGTTATCTATTTCAAAAATTAAATTGTTCGAATGTCATATAATAATGGCCGCAGGTGTCATAGAATTGAGCGAATAAAAAATTATCATAAATCGTTTTTTTCAAATGGAAACTCACTTTTTTATTTCGGTAGTGAAAAGGCTTTTCAATTCGTTACTTTTTAACTATACATATTCCTATACCTAAAATAAATCGTTTTAAAGTTACTTAAGATTTAGTTTTAAAGCGTATATTTTTCTTGATTTTAACCAGTAGCCTATGACTTTAAATGTCAAGTGACAGAATAGATAAAGCAATAGATTTGGACATGTCATATTGTGACGCTTTGTTCAAAAAGCAGCATCATTTTCGAAGCAACGAATTTTCCAACTTTGCGCTGTTTTTTCTTTCGATCATACGGAATATTATTAATAATATCAATAACTATTAGATATCGCTAAAGAGCGAAAATACGAGATATATTTTTATAAATACACTTTTTAAATTCTTAAGCAGGCAGTATTTATACTATAGGAAATTCAAATAATTTGTTTTCTGACAGATGGAAATAAATTGTCTGGCCGTTTGACACTTAATGTCAAAGGAAGCTAGATAAAATCAAGAAAAATATACATTTTTGAACTAAATCTTAAATAACTTAAAAACGATTTATTTTAGGTATAGGAATATGTATAGTTAAAAAGTAACGAATTGAAAAACTGTTGCATTAGTGAAATAAAAAAAGTGGATACGCAATCTTATTCCTAACCTAACCTAAATGATTTATGATAATTTTTAATCACTCAATTTCATGACAGCTACCGCCATTATTATATGACATTTGAACTATTTAATTTTTGAAATAGATAGCCACATCTCTGTATGTTACAGTGGCTGTGGTAATCCCTAAGTTTGACTTTTAGGCTATATAATTTTTTTTGACAGGTAGTAATACATAAAAAATGGGGGCACCCATTTAACATAAGAAAGTTGCTAGTACTAAAAAGGAAGTTGTAGTACATAATAAAAAATGGGGGCACCCATTTAACATAAGAAAGTTGCTGTCAACTTCCGGTATTTCCGGAAGTGCCGCCATATTGAAAATATTTTTAATCGATTGATCTCGTTGTAAAACAAAGTTGTGCAAAAAATATCCGATCTAGATATTGTGGTTCTCCAGAAACTTCTAGTGCACGCTCAGCCTGGGACACCCTGTATATCATGATATATTTGCAATTTTTCTAAAATATTTATGCAAAAGAATACATGCAGAATATCAGCCATATCTTAGTTGGGCCATATGACCATTAAGTCTAAGGATGTCCAACGAGCCAGGGAAGACTTCGACAGACCAAAATTCAAAATTATAAAATGACAGAATATATAATTTAAACGTGAAGTAAAATTAGTAAATCATTTTGGCGGATTCAGCGCCATATTTTTTTTTCTTGTTAGCTTGTACATTTTAGGAATCTAAAATAAAAAAGTACTATTACAAAAATTCGTAATAAAAAACTGCCATTTTTAATTTCATAAAACCCTTGGATATTCAAAAATCTAGTTCAATTGTTAGCCTTTATTTTGGCCTTTTAATATTTTTCTTTTAGCAAAGTTAAACAATAATAAAAAGAACAATGCTTACTTCCAGCAACCACTTTCCAGCGCAACACTCAGTGCTTCTAACAACAATTTTCAACCTGTCAAGCAAAATGGAAACTTAAGTGGCAGGTTGTTAACTGTCGTAAACCAAAATTTTGTTTTCCGCAGCCTTCTATCTGTGCTTCTATGCTAGATTAGCAGAATAATAAAACGATTTTACCATGGAAATTATCATTAAATTTAAATTAAAGGACGAGTTTATTTATTTGCGAGAGAAAAACTAATTGATTATTATTTTTTATCAAGTTCATATGTTCTAGTTGAGATAATACCATCAAAAATAGTCTTTTTAAAGGTTATTTTTTACCACTTACATTTCAATTCTAGCCTTGTGTGCGGCGCGGCGCGGCGGTGCAATTTAGGTGAATACCCTAATGTTATAAAGGTATTGCCATTTGACCGCATAGTAAATATCCGTTATAATACCAGTAATATACAAGGAATATTATAAGGTATATACCAGGAATATATCTATCATATTTCCCAATGGACCTTAGACCTTCTTGGTATATACTAGATATATACCCAAATTTTGCTTATCAATTCGTTGGATATTTATCCACAGTCCATCACTGGCTATGACTACATATAAATTTAAAGAAGAAATATATTGGCTAAATTCTATAAATGTAATGTCAAAGGATTTTTGAATTTGACTGTTGTCTTTGCTGTTGCTATGATATCGAGCGATTGTTAAAATAGTAATATGGTTTTTACATAGTGGTCGTAGATAAAATAACAAAAAAAATATTTTATAAACACAATGTTTCCAAAATAGCGAACAAAGTCTCGTTCAGCGAATAAATTCTGCAATAAACGGGAGAATACTATATCACTCTTTTGTCCTCAACGTTTGCGATTTTCCATTCAAGAGATTTAGCTCGGGATCCGTGGAAGCGTAAAAGTAAATCTGCATAAGTTGCTGTCAGTGACCTGCACCAGCCTGATTTGTCGAAGTTAGGAGGAAGGCTCTCACGTAATCCCCGCACACAAGCACCACTTTGCAGTCTGGAATTATTAAAGGGGGCTGTTGCCATAGAAATCTTTTTCTTCGTATAGTACGGCTTAATACTTAAAAACTATACTAAGCGAGAATTTAACAATGTGGGGTTTTATGCAAGGTTTATGACAGAGAGAAGAGGAAATAAGTTGCAATTACTTCATGCTAGCAAAACAGTAATTAAACTGAAAAGAAAGAAATGGAAATACAAAATGTAATAAAATAATGTTCCATATTTATGATTTAACAATAATTCGCATCGTTTTTGAACGCTCTTTTGGAAATTGCGTCAGATTTGATGAGATTCAGCTTGGCTCTTTCCCGCTTGATTCCCTCAATAATTAAAAAGTTTTTAAGACATTTCTTTATTGCAGTACGCTAATTTGTATTAATTATTTTATTGTCGATAGATTAGACTTCTTAGGCCTTCTTAGGCCGTCTACACATAACGTCTTACATGTCGGTCTTATCTGTTCAATCAAAACGTATCAAGTTTTGTGTAGACGAAAAAACAGTCCAGTTTACATAATCTGAATTAATTTATCATTACATTCCATCCTTTTTTTCAATGATACCGTTGATTGTAAGAATAGGGAAGAGACGCAACCTAATGGGCAAATTCGTGATAAGGCTGATTTGATTTCCTCTTACATCTTAAATGCTGTACGGTGGAGCCTCTACTAGTTCTGCGGCCAATGCAAAAAACCTTCATTTTCTCTAATTCGGCTAGCGAAGTCATATCGGAGACGATGTGGAACTGAAAGCGACAGTGTTGCTTTCAGTTGCATATTAAAATGTGTAATATCTGTAATACGTTTGTCGAAAATATCTTTGGATGAAAAATCCGCGTTTATGTATTAGTGAAAAACATAGAATAAACAACAAAAATAAAAATTCTTTTAAAGGTACTGAATATTTCGTATGATCGAAAAACGTCGTTTAGATGGCTTGGAAATGACGACTATTTATATTTATCATTATAAGTTTACATATGAAATAACAGCGATCTTTATTTCCAATATAATATTATTTCCATATAATCCTTCCATAAATTGTTTAATGATAGAAAATCGGTATTATTAAATTATCGAAATACGTAAATCTACCGATTAGTCCGTAGTTCTGGCAACACTGTCACCGGCAACCACCCACTCTGTCGACTGAACGCAGAACTACGGTACAGAATTCTTTATCCGCTGCGCTGTAAACGACTATCAGAGCTAAACTAATTCTCGGACAGGTTGGCTAGCGGTGACGGTATCGCCGAGCTACATCTCGGACAGGTTTTGTGTCTAAGCCATAATGTTGCGTATCTTCTTATTTCTTCAATCAACGGGGATACATAATAGTCACTCTTTCTATGTTTATAAATAATTATAAATTTTGTTATTGTTGCAGGAACCGGTGGCAGATCCTCATGCCAATGCCGCCGACCTCCGCAAATCTCTGGAATGGGAATTATCGCAAGACAGCAGGGACTTGAGATCGCACGCTTGGTATCACGGTGCCATTCCAAGGTCACGTGCCGAGGATATCGTCAGAGGGGATGGCAGCTTCTTGGTAAATATTTATATCAATATCCACAATCTTCAACCCGATCGGCCATAAATAAACTGTAACTAGCGAGTTGACTTCGCATTATAGTGATGTGTCGGTATTTGAATAACGCGATTTTGGAGCGTCCTAAACGAATCAGGAACCTGTTACTACAGAACGACGATCGTAATAACGATAAAACTATAAATTATTTATAATGTATAAATAAATTATTTATAATCGCTCTTGGAGTTAGCTCGAACCGCAGTAACTGCATAGCGCCGTGTTTCGCTCCAGCCGTCGCGCTCCTAGGGTTGCGATTTCGTCGGTCGCGAAGAGTAGTAACTGGAACTGGTAAGTACGTAGAGTTGCGCGATCTCGACCACTTTGTCTGTCTTGAAGAGATGTAACTGGTAACGACCTATACCGCGACGTATTTCGCTCCAGTGACAGTGGTCGCGCGACTGCTGGAGCGCTCGTAGGGTCGAGTTTTCATCGGTCGTGAACAGTAGTAACTGGAACTGGTAACTACGTAGCGTTGTGCTTTGATCGGTCGCTGTTGGCGTTGATGCTCCCGTTACAGTCGTTACGTTACTTTCGAGATCGCGATTTGCGGTAGGTCTAGGTACCTACTAGGCATTTTTGATTGATAATAGATACATCTAGGTATATTAGATTGTTACAAATAAACACTTTTGCAAAAATAAGAAAAAATAAAAAAGAAATATGACCGAAAAAAAGGAAATTTGTAAAGATACTTTCATTTGATTAAAAATATAATCCCATTTTTATATAGTCTGCAAAGAAAGAGAATTACATTTAACATACCCGAATAAAGTAAGACTGATTTTATTTTGTTTATCTGATATGAACATTTTACTTCTAATTTTTCCACCAATAAGGAATATACCTAGATAAAAACATACACGCAGATAAAGAAATTTAGAGTATTTATGACGTTGGGCGCAGATGTATCTCGAATAATGATTCAAATTATGTTACTTCTTATGGTTTAAGCTAAACTATTTCTAAAGTAAACAGATTTTAAGAAAAAAGATAGAAAAATATAATCATCCTACAAATGTACGTATTTTAATTTAAATTCTAACGTTATAACGTGTATCAGAAGAATATCAATCGAAATATTATTGGCAAAAATATAAAACTTATAAAAAGCTATTCTTCAATCTGAAGAAAACATGGCGAATAAAAAGTATTTATTACCATTAAATTATATTATTTCATATTATATATTTTTTAATTAATAGTTTTATTTTCAAAATTAAAAGCTATCATAACTAAATTCTTCTAGCCATCTGCATGTTGTTTATTGTTTACAAATTTGGGGGGTTTATAAATTGTTATTATTTATGAATTTGCATGGACACAGAGATAACAGCATCGATGGGAGTAGGTTAGGTTATGTTAGATTGGTTGGGAACAGCGACACTTTGAAAGCCGGAGCCTCGGCTACAAAATCGCACTATTTTGTCGCGTTATTTCTCTGGAACGGTCGCTATTGTAAGATGACTAATGTGGAATCGGCATTCCCATCACGAGTTTATACTCGCCAAATCATATCAGTTAATCAAATAACTTGATTCTTGTCTTAATTGACTACTGTTTAACTTTTGGCATTCAAGTGGTGTTTTTAAAATTGCGACAAGTAGGTATTGAGAAGAAAATTCTGTGATTTTTATTTATATTTATGAGAAATACGAATATATCAATGTATAACAGAATCCGAAATACTAAAGGAAATACTTAGGGAAAGAAGAATAATTTCTAGCTTAAACCGAGGAGGAATAGCGTTACGCATTAGTGTTTTTGTTTTGTAATTCTGGGTGCAACTTTTTTCAACAAAAAATGATATTGGTTTGCATCCACCCTTAAAATATTATTGTAATTCCTTAGCCCAGTCAAATTAGAGAAATCGGTGGAAAAAAATCCCACAGTTTTGAAAATGGTTTTATATAATTTTTCTAGATTTGGGCTGATATGTGTCAAAAGTCCCCGAAGATAAACGATTAGCTCGAGGAGAGGGGAAGGGTTAAATGTCATTTTTATGACTTTTTACTTATATCTCAGAAAATGTGACAACTACGAAAAAATACCCTATATAGAAAATTGAAGCTCAGAAAATTCTCTACAAAATTAGTTAAATGCATTTTTTTCATAGGTCTAACATTTTAAGAGTTACATGGTTGACAAAATTAACACTATTTCTGATATTGTATTTTCACATTTAAAATCCAATTAAAGTCTAAATTTAACCTTTCATATTAATAATGGTAATACTAAAGGGTCCTTATGCTATCTTTCAAGTCTTCATTGCATTGTGACTTTTTGTCTTCCGTTGGAGAGCACTAGTGCACACAGGACTTAACAATAACTGCAAGTTAAAGATTAATGCATGCCTGCTTTATGGTAAAAAAAGTATACCACAGCATGTAGCGTAGCTGCAAATATTGTAGAAAGTATACGAAAACCAAGAATCATGGTTTATGGTCGATGATTGCTCAGAGTTGAATATTTCTATCCCTGCCTGCAGTAGACTTTTCTAATGTTAAAGTAGAACGAGGCATTTGAGGCATTAGCATTTGAGGTCTGGTTCCCTGAAGTTGTATATTGCGATGATATTCTACATCATTTCTTCCTGTAGGTACAGTTAACGTAAGTGTAATATTTACGTATCTGCACTACCCAATCCATTTCACCAATCTAGTATCAGTCTTCCCTCGCAGAATTTCAAAGAGTACTTTTTAAACTTTGAAAAGAATATGAAAGTGTGATTTCTGAATCTTCTCAACCTACAATAATTGAATACAATAATGATACACACATACATAAAATGAGTCCCCATACTTTAAAATTATCTATATTATTTCACATGATCCATTTTAGACAAGTAGGTAATTTCTATTCCATAAAAAAGTGATTTTAATTTACTATTTATATTAATGCATGAATCGCTTACTTTTTTAATTTAGTAGGTCTTTCAAATTCTTTTTTAATTTTGTACAGTATCGTATAATATATTATGCTATTTAAATTAAAAAAAATCTACGTTATTAAAGATAAAGTTCATTATAAGACTTTTGAATTGAAGAATTTTATGAAGGTACATTTCTTATTTCCGACACAAAAAATAATTCAGAAACATAATAATTCACTATTATTTTATAAATGTGTTATTATTTATTTTGTTTCTTTAATATATTACGTACATAATGTCGGTTTTGATTCTTTTAATTACACAAAAATATAAAGCAAAATAAATGAACAGAAAACATTATCCTTGTTAACAAATAACTTGCACAGTCAAGGAGATTTATATGAACGCATCACCTCTAAAATTTATAAAATCACAGTATATACTAAAATTTATACTTAATACTTAAAAAATCATGGGGATACCGTACTTCTCCAACGCTATTTGAACGAAAACGTGCAATAAGAAGAAATGTGTTTGTACGGATTTGGAATATGTCATTTGATTTAGTATCCAAATTTATGAAGGGCATAGTTCGGAAACCATAAGTCCGGGAACAAAAATGTATAGAATCATTTTTATAGAGAATTTTGTCAGCTTTATTTTTGTATATAGAGAGTTTTTTGGTAGATATCATAGTTTCCGAGATATAAGCAAAAAAGTGAAAAAATTGACATTTAACTCCTCCCCTCTCCTCGAGCTCATCGTCTATCTTCGGGGACTTTTGACACATATCAGCCCAAGTCTAGAGGAATCGTTTAAAACCATTTTCAAAACTGTGGGAATTTTTTCCACCGATGGGCCTTTTTTAAGTAATTTGACTTGAGTATCTAGGATCTTCCAACTCTAGCTTAGATATTAAATTATAAGATGCACCATAAGTAATTCTGCGGCTAATCGATTTTGTGATATATATTTTTCTTTTACGTCTAGTTTTTTTACGCAATACATTTTTCATCAACTCTATTCTCAAAATGTTTGAAGTACAGTGCATTATCGTCATTTTGATTCAACCAGCAGAAGCTTTTTTATATCAAATATGTAAGCACAAAATATTCTTTCAAATCAGTTGGATTCCTGTGATTCTGGTAAGTTCACTTGACTTCTGAAAGCGTGCTTTTAGAATCTAGGTTATAGCTTGAGAAACCCAGTAGAACAAACAAGGAATTATAAAAAAAAATATCCAATGAATGTAAAATATCTATCATTTTATATCAAATGCGAATGTCTCTATAATTTTCAGGAATATACCGAATAAAAATATATATTTAATTAATCGGCATTGCTAAGGTAACTCGACGCTGTTTTTTATTCCATGGTATTTCCCATTACATAATTTGATTATTTTTGGTTACTAAAAATATTGTTAATATTATCAACAAAGTGCAAATTATCTTAAATTTTTTTTTTTATTTATTTAATACATAAAATAAAAAGTACTGGAATTTGCCGGTTATTACTATTAGCACGACGCAAGTGATAATTCACAGAGGACATTTTTATTAGTTATATCAGGGCCATAATGTCCCAATATTTCGTGGACATAGAAGTACTACGTTTTTTTTTGGAATCAAAGAAGTTCATTGAACACAATTTACCTCTATACAAAAGGGCATCAAAGTTTAAAAAAAATAAACACATTTTTTCAGATATTTTAAGAATCGTTATTCCGACTTGAATGAGATTTTGGGTGTCTATGTTTTGCTAAGTGCTTTAACATTTGACTTTCACAAAAGTCAAGAAAAAGTACGGAAAGGGTGAAAACTACCCCCAGCGCTACATAAATTTTAGTATGCGACGAAATGAGTTCAACAGCTAACTCCATTATTCCGAATTTTACAGGAGAGTAAAAAACCCTACAAAAAAATATGTACTCATATAGCAAGTATATTCGTACGTTAATATGATAAACAGATAACAATATTTGTTGGGGAAGAATAAAACTAAATATTTCGTTAAAAATATAACGTAAAAGTTATATTTTAAACCTATTATTTAATTAACGTAAAAATGGAGATAGCAGGTTAATATGTTTCACTGACGTAACGATATTTTTATTACATAGTTATATTTTTTACGTTAAGATATATATACTACGTTTCCTAATGTTATACAAACTATATTAGCATAGTGTACAAATCAAAATATACGAGATTTTGAATACACACTCAGACGCAAAAAATGTATATAATTATGTCAACTTTAATTCGTAAACTAAGTTTTTTTATAAACTTTAGTATTTGGCATATTATACAGGGTTAATCGAGGGGTTGTTTTTTTACCCTAACTTTAAAACACCCTGTGCAATAATTTCGGGTGTAAATTTTCCTAAAATATAATTCTGCGGTCAGAACCATGTCTCCTGAGCATTTTGTTTTTTGGATCATGTCAATACATGCCTTGGTTAATTTTTAAGAGCGAAATGAACTTGCCACCAAGAATTTGAATTTTCTCAATGATAATTTCTTTTTGAAGTAAATTTTCAATATGATAAGGCCGCTTTGATGATTATTGTGAACTACATTCTACTATGAACTGACCATCATGTTCGACATTTGGGAAATGCTTGGCAGGAGGATTAGATGTTGCGAAGCGGTACCAGCTTCATTAAATGTACTTCGCTAGGTTCTTAAAGAAGAATGAGAAAGCATAACGCAATATGGTATATGCAGCCTCAATGGCAGTATAATCGGACGTATACAGGCAATTATATCAGCCAAGGCATGCAATACAAAGTATTAGGGTATTTTTTACATTTTTTTTTCTGTTTGTATACTTCATTACAGATGTTTTCTTTAATACCGTTAGTTCTGTTATCGTTATTAATATTTATTAAAACCAGGACAGTATCGTTAGTCTTTAACGTTTTTTTTTTAAATTTAGTATAGAGTATCCAATGCAGCGTAATACGACGTTACGACAATAGTGGCCAAAACCATCTCGTCATATTAAACAAAAACGTAAAAAAATAATGATAATTGAAAAAATTGCAAATTGATCGTGATCAGTTCATTTCGCTCTTAAAAATTAACCAAAGCATGTATTGACATGAATCAAAATACAAAATGCTCAGGAGTCATGGTTCTGGCCGTAAAATTATATTTTAGGAAAAATTACACACGAAATTATTGCACAGAGTGTTTTAAAGTTAAGGTAAAAAAACAATCCCCCGATTAACCCTGTATAATATGCCAAATACTAAAGTTTATAAAAAAAAACTTAGTTTACGAATTAAAGTTGATATAAAATATACAGTTTGCTAAAAAAAATCATGAAAATAGGGCTAAAAATAAAATATAACACTTTAAATTTAACCAAAAATTTCTCCGTTGCGTTTTTTTTGCATCTGAGTGTACTTTTAATTTCATTCAAGATCAGAGACTGTACATCGCAGCCCGGAAACTATGTTCTCACTTGTCGCACAAAAGGCCACCCCTTGCATTTTGTCATCAACAAAGTTTTTCTTCAGCCGGACACTGTATATGAAAGGATACAATATCAATTTGAAGATGAAGCTTTCGACACTGTACAGGACTTGATAACATTCTACGTGGGTAAGTTTATTTTTTACATTTTAAACAATAACATAGTATAAGGAAAATAGTAGTTCCACTCCCTCAAATATTTTTGAACAACCGACAGAATTCGACAGCTTGTTGGCAGCATATGCAGAGCGTCCTGTCAATCGGCCTGCGAGGTTTGAACATTTAAAAAAATGTTGCGTGTATGGACAGCTAATGTTTCTCTTTAATACTAACTAATTGGCTCTTCGTGTGAATACCTCTTGTATACGCTCTATATGTGAATAACTCTTGAGATTATTTTTAGGAAGAATCACAAGTTATCGAATTTATTAGAAATTTTGAATATTTCTGTTATATCTTATATAATATTGATGTTATTTTATATGAATTTAATGAATTTAAAACATACTCATTTTTAAAAAAATGTATATCATACATTCAGCAATTATGAATAATTATTATACAAATATAAAAATTAATAAAAGTAGATATAGGTATAATTTAGGTTGAAACCCTTAGTTCTACAGACTACTACTTTAGAGTACACTAAATTGCTTATCCTCAATACTTAACTTCGCGTTCTTATGGCCATATAAGCATCATGGTTAGAAAAGGAATGGAAAATTAATAAATTATTTAAAATCCCCTAAAATAGAATGGTTATTTTAAAGTATGTATACCATTTGCATTTTTTTCAGGATCAGGGAAACCTATTACGGTAGCTTCGGAAGCGAAAATTCAAAATCCAGTTAACAGAATGTACCCTCTTTCCTTCTACGCTTCGAAATATCCAACACCTCTTCCATCAAGCAGGCTTTCGTCGCCGGCAACGACACCTGTCGGAACGATGCAGTACCGACATAGTCCCTTACAAGGGTATAGGCCGAATTGTTCGCCTACTAGGAGGGATGGACCACCAAGGTAAAACGAAATATTTATTTTATTTTATTACCAACTATATTCAGGGAGGGAATTGAAATGTGTGCTGTTACGTCTATTACCAATCAGATTTCGTTGACCGATTTATCTATAAATGTTCTATTATCATTAAGAATTCTTGAGCTATAGTCGCCTCTCTAATGGCGGGTCCAGACCAAACAGACAAAAACATTCATGTTTGACGACAAAATTGTGACAAATCCAATACATTTCTGCGACATTTTTGTTCTGTTTCAAAATTCGGAGACTTTTCAATGTACCGTCTCGAGTCAGTAAAGATCAAAGTGTCGATGTTTTGTTCGTATATTTTACGACAAGTTGTCGGCGCAGTGTGGATGGCGTGTGCTGCTAACAGTAGGAGACCACTGTAGTCACACATGGTTAATAAAACTCATTCGCAACAACTAAACTTTTGACTTTTTTGTTTTTTTTTGTCCTTGCGGTGTGGACAATTTGTCTCAAGTTTGCCTTGTCAGAATTCCCCATTTTTTATCGCAAGTTTGTCTTATTTTTGTCTCAAAATGCTGTTTATTTTTGTGGCTTTGGTATGGACCCGGCATAATATTGAACCTGGGCCCGAATTCTATAACTTAGAAAACGCTCAGCGTATACGACGTTAATTTTCGCTTAGCTCTCACTTGACTATCGATTTGGGTATTATCATTTGACGTGCTTAGCGTATTTGCCCATTCTACTAAGCGATTCGAAAACAGATACCTTAAAGGATCGTTTTGCTTGTCGAAATGTCATTAAAAATAGAAAAAAATGCGATTTTGTCCGTTCTCTTGCTCTTTAGTGAAAACTAATTCTTCTTCTATAAATTCCTCAGTAAGTAATTGATAATTTACGACTTGGCATCTATAAATATTGTTCAAAACATCGAAAATGCTGAGAAGCGTCTTCAATATTTCCCTTGTATAATAAGAATAATGACATATCCATAATACTCAACAAATTCACGTAACATTGACATTTTTCATCGTTTTACCCAAACGATTCGCACGGCAAGGAGAATATCAAAATCTCCTGCTTAGCGTTCTGCTGAAGAGCTAATTTCGCTTGCCACTTCAAAAGCATAACGTTTTTATGTCGAAGTTCCAGAATTCGGGCCCTGTATATCGTTTCCTTATATCATACAATATGGTCGAAAAAAAACGGCGTCAGCAATAGTTATGAAATGAAGATCGCTGCCATTTTATATGCAAAATTATATGGGGAATGTCATCGATCGTCATTTCCAATGTCGTTTTTCTTTCGATTTTGCGGTACTTATTTAGTAAAAATTACAAATTTTTTTCTGATTTCTTTGACTTTTTTTTGGTGAAATTATTTTTTGTATTGAAATTTAATTTTCTTTTCACGTAAAAAGTCTGAAAAGAATATTAATTTTCACAATATACAGGATGAGTCTTAAATAAGTACAAATATTTTCAGGGCTGATAGAGCTCTACGAAAGAAACATATTTTCTCTTTACCGTTTTTCAAATAAATAAAAAAGTCCAAAATAACCGAGTTATTCAAGTTTAAAATTTTTAAAAAAATTGATTTGATTTAAAAAAAAATTGAGTGCCACCGGGTTTATTTTATGTGCATCCCTTTTAATGCCGGAACCGTAGTAATATCAGAGATTAACAAATTATACGTTGAGAAAGTTTTTTAAAATATACAGGAAGATTTAAAAATCTTTTTTGCAAAAAAAAACCTCACAGGCTTGCTTGTTTAAGACTCACCCTGTATAAAACTCGCCCTGTATAGAACTGCCTTCCTATATTCTTACCCTTAAGACGTCAAAACCAGAGAAAAGGGTCTCTTCACGTCCCTTCAAATTAAATTACAAGGAGCTGTCTAAGTCGCTTGATATATACTTGTGTAAAGGGCTTTTCATAATAGCTTTGCCCTTGTCCAAGCTTCAGAAAAAAATCTTTAAATTAATGCACGTCAAGATGTAAATGTTTTTTTTCATTCTGTTACTCAATATTTCTATAAATCTGAATAAAATTCATTGTTTTGTGTAGGTACTAATAAAATTGTAATATTGAGTTATAACAGCTTACAGCTTTACAGATAATGCTTTACAGCTTTGCAGACATCGCGCATCGTATTGAATTTATTATTAACTAGTTTTATTTATCTGAGGTTGTTTCTAAATACATTATTACAGGGTGACTCAGCGTCCTTAAGAAACTACAGGGTGTCCCAGGCTGAGCGTGCATTAGAAGTTTCTAGAGAACTACAATATATAGATCGGACATTTTTTGCATATCATTGTTTCACAGCCAGATATAAATCAAAAATTAAAAATATTTTCAGTATGGTTTCAACTAAATCTTAATAATTTAAAACAAAAATTTAGGTATAGGAGCATGTACCTATAGTCAAAAAGTAACGAACTGAAAAACATTTTCATTTGGAAACCATGATTTATGATCATTTTTAATCGCCCAATTCCATGACAGCTACCGCCATTATTATATGACATTCGAACAATTTAATTTTTGAAATAGATAGCCACTTGTTTTTATGTCACAGTGGCTGTGGTAATCACTAAATTTGACTTTTAGGCTATACAATTTTTTTTGACAGGTATTTTCTCGGGTATTTTATTTCGTCCAAAAATTTTAAATATTTTTTTCTCAAAAACGGTTCATGTTGGGTATAGAGTGTTTAAGATCAATACTCATAGAATTTTACAGAGAATTTAAGTATGTAATAAAAATTGAGGCACACATTTAAAATAAGAAAGTTGTTATCAACTTCCGGTATTTCCGGAAGTACTACCATATTGAAAATATTTTTAATCGGTAGATATCGTTGTAAAACAATGATGTGTAAAAAATCTCCGATCTAGATATTGTAGTTCTCTAGAAACTTCTAATTCACGCTTAGCCTGGGACACCCCGTATATCTCTAGCTTAAACTATAGGTTTGAGATTTCTACTTCAATCCTGATCTGACTTGAATCCTACTTCGGCTGACCTGAATCCTGATGACTTGAATCCTACTTCGGCTGATATGCTCGGATTCATTATCTGCTCTACTATGTATAGAAAATATTTACCCCCAACATCCTTTGAAAGCACATATAATGGATTTGCGACATAGGGCAACAATAGGCCTAGGCTCCAATATATCAGTATTGTGGATCCCTAGCCATGTGGGCATTACCGGTAATGAAAGCGCTGATCATTACGCAAAAAATGCACGTCTCAATGGTACAGATAGGTTATCAGTTTATTCCACCGGTTGTCTGCTCACAAAAATCGCCCGTGCAAATCCCTGGTTCAACTGGAATGGGATCTTGTGGAGGAACCTATATATATAACAAACTCTGGAATGTCATAAAGACATTCTTCTGTGGTTTCTCCACATCGAGTTATGATCATCGCAAAGCCGTAGTAATTAACAGACTCATGTTAGACATTGTAGGTTTTCTCATCAATTTTTGCTTAAGGGCCAACCACCGCCTCTATGTGATAAATGTAGTAATCCTTTAACTATCGAACATATCCTTAAGGAATGTAGTCAGTTAATTAACCTAAGAGAGGCCTGCAATCTTTCGTCAGACATGTGTCAGTTATTTTTTCTACAAGTGAGCAACCAAAACTTTTTGATTTTCTGGAAAGATCGGGATATATATCTAAAATATAGGTATCTAAAAAGCCACATTTTGGTTTAAGGCAACCAATTACTAATTCAATTGTACATATTTTTACGTTTTATTCTTTTATTCTATGTTGTCTGTACCATTTATTTATATTTTTACAAAATCAATGTCTGTACTGTTAACATATACAATCTGTCTATAAACGTGTTGTTTAGTAAAATGTCAAATATTGTACCGAACTAAAATAGCAGATCATACGCCGCTAAATAGCCTTTGATGCTGATGCGGCTTGAAAGCTAAATTTCTTCTTCTTCTTCTTCAATCCTTTTATAAAATACGTAGGCAATATCTTTAAAAAAACCTATATTTTTTGCCACATCAAGATAAATCCACAACATCAAAGGATATTTTTTGTAAACTCCACTACGTCGAATCCAAACGGAAATTAGCTTGTCGGTGGCTTTATATTACCAAAACAAATTTGCCTAACCGAAAAAAAATGCTTAACTTTTCAGGAGGTTTTCAATTTAAGATCTCCCCTCGCGTCGTAAGAAAACACAAAGAGAAACAAGAAAAAAATACTTAAATAAAACTATTCGAATACACTTTATTTTTTAGAAGATAATACAATAAACCAAAATTTCCTCTTTTCCAGGCTGCCATCTAAGAAACAACGATCTCAGTCACTCACGCCTTCAGAAGTTAACCGCATGTCACAAGAGAAATGCAACAGCGCAGATGGCGTCATTCAGTCGCCGCTGATGACCAGATCGGTAGGATCGGAAAGTGTCAGTTCAGGATTGAAATTTTCAACGCACTCGTTACCGCGCACCACCCACAACACTAGACTGTCGCTTTCTAACAGTGCCAACACTTTAGGAAGAAATTCCAGGTAAGCCTACTTTAAATTAGAGATGGGTTGTTATTTAACTATCTGTTATTTCATAACAGTTGTTTAGAAATAATATAACGCACAACCATTGCTACTTCTAAAAAATAACAGATATAAAATAACGACATGTAGAGATCGATCTTTTGTGGCACGAAGTCGGTGCTCTGCATCGCCACGAAATTATATGCGGCTCAAAGCAATTCCAAAAAATAACTAGTATCAGAGACAACTAATGAAAAATCTCAGTTATTTCGACAACTATCGATAACGGACGGCAGTCGAGATACAGCAAAGTGGGGAGTGCGCGTCAATTTGACGAAATTTTTTTCTGTTGCATTTCTTTGCATTGGAGTGTATTTGTTATATCTACATTTTTTTTCTTAACTCTTAGGATAACTAGCGATCCGACCCTGTCGCCGTGTGCAGAACGACGACTGGGCACCGACGCAGCAGATTCGGGCATCGAATCCCCTCCACCCAAACCATCGCGCATGCCTTATCTTTCCAGGGCGGAATCAGTGGATTCTTCTGCGCTGGGCTTCCCTACTCACGGCGGCCTCCAACGGGTGACATCGTATCACGCCAGCGGGTCAGATTCCGGCAACGGTTCGGGCGATTCCGCCTTAAGCTCGGCAGCTGGGGATACGGGAGATCTCCCCAAAGGAAGTGGTGAGTATCATCAATCATCAATGTTTATAATAATAATAAATCTGAAAAATTAATTTGAAAAATAACAAGTATTAATCGATACATCTTTAGTCACAATTTTATTTTTTTTCTATTTGCATCTGTGATTGTAGTTTTTCTTTTCTGTAAAATGATAAATTGCGTCCTTGATCTTCCTTTAAACGTGGTGCGTTTCCCATTTTCGACAAACTCTGTATATCCATCTCATTTGTTCTTTAAAAATTATAAGTACAGAGGCACACAGAGACCTTAAATGAATAAACTCTCTAGGCAGTAAGTTATAACAAGTCATGACAAGATGATGAAGAATTGCATACCTAAAGACAAAAGGCCGAAACGTAGTAGGCGGTCACGGTTCCCTCGCATCGCGATGTCATCACCGCAACTTAGAAGCTCTCTCAAAATACATCTGTTGTGGCAGGTTAGCATGCACATATATACTATATAGGGTCCCCAAAGTCGTTCCTTGGGTTTCAATTTTTTTTCCTTTTTATCGGAAAAAGCTTTTAAGATTCTTCTAAATTTTATCTTATTGTTGATTCTTAACTTTACTTTTTATTGACTTTAAGGCATTGTTAAATCTGATGTAGTTAAAGAGATCTTTTGAGCCCTTAGGTATTTTTATTGCGGTCTCTATAGTGTGTGTTAATTCTTTCACAAACAGCTGTATAGAGCTCTCTTTTAGCGAATTTTATAGACGACATATTTATCTTTTACCATGTTCGAAAATACGAAAAATGTAATTAGATTTGCTAACTTATCTAATTATATTTTACACCCGCCACCAACTCCTACTTTTCTGTGAAAACCACTTGTTGAACAATTTAGTTCTTTTAACAAGTAAAAACTAAATTTTTAATCGATTTAAACGTTTCAAAGATTTGCAGTAGATCCAATATAAACCCATCCATTAAAAACCTAATATAGATCATATTTTTAATGGGTTGCAGTAGATCAAATCTCTTGTAATGCATAAAAATTAAGTAAAGATTCAATCTGAAGTACAGCTTTAGAAATATAAATGTTTTTATGACATAAGTTAAAATTAACCGATAATTGATTTATAGAATAGAATAAATACTATTACTAAAATTATTTAACATTAAATAGTTTAATTTGTATTTCACAGTAATATTGATTTTATATTGTCCTTGTACATACCGTATGAACAAAAAACTTTTATGGTTCAGTTGGCTTTGACTTTGACAGTTAAAAATCTAGTGGAACTTCCCATTACAATTGTTTATTTTTCATCATACAAGCAAAACAAGCTTAATGATAATATTTTTTGATCACATTTTATATTCTATAGTATCTACTAATGTTATCTATAGTCTATCAAACCAGGGGCGAGAGAAAGTATGAAAGTGAAGTTGTCCGTCGTTGAGTTCAAAGTATGGAGTGTAGAGGTAAGGAGAAAATAAATATCTTCGTGCATTAAAAAATGGCCATAAAAAAGGGAAGACTTAAGATGGCGCTGCTGTAGCAAAAACCTAAAATTTAAAATATGCGCCGAAAATTTTTAGAACAGGAAATGATTCAAAAGAGATAAATATTTGACGTGAAGGCGCAGGTTTCAAAAAATACAAATTTTATTTTCATGCCACATGAAATAATATATCGATTTTTATTTAGCAGCAATAGACTGGGTCTCTAATATATAAAAATAATTGTTTTATATTCTAAAAAATAAAGACAAAGCTTTTTTGGGTAATGTTTGGTTATGTTACTTTTATTCTCTTATCTATGGTTACTTTTCATTTTTTAGATTTATGCGTCGTTAGCGCCACTGTGATCATTTGGTGAACCCTTATTCTTCCCATTTTTGTGACCACTTTTGCAAATCTTTATTTGAAAGAGTGGTCATAAGGGATATATTTCCTCATAAGAGATATTTCTCCTCATCTCTACCCTCCATAGTTCAAATATAGAATTTTTTGTCAGTTTGAGATGTCGAAATCGTCCCTACTTACGTTGGATATGGGTTAGATACTTAATTTATTATTAATAAATATTGTTATAGTGAAAAATATAATAACACAATAGTTTATATTCTCCTTTTTTAGGTGTAATCATTAAGAATCCTCGATACAATATGGTAAATTCTGAATCTTCCACAACGTTAAAAAATTTCGATTGTACAGAAGCAGAAGAAAAACTTCTTCAATTTATAGAAAGCCAACCTGTAAAGTTCGGTAGTAGGTAAGTGCAAGTGTATTTTTTATTTGCAAAAAAATAGGTTTAATCTAAAAATAGTATCCCTATCGGCGATTTTTTTAATGTAAAATATCTGAATTTTTTCTTACGGCAACAATACAATGAGGCGTCAAGTTGCAAAACCCGCCTTATCCATTTTTTTAAAATGGCCTAATGACATAATGACTATAGTGATGGTAAAAACCGATTAATTTCAATAATCGAATACTCGAGTATCAAGCGATTGCAATAACTGAGTGATCACTCGAGCGAAATATCGCTCGTATTTAAAAAATACGGTTTTTTGTCCGTCGCATGTTGTAAGTACTCGTTAACGCCAAGCGCCAAGCAGTAAGCTGCGTGCGCAGGGCACATATTCTTTCGATAACGAACGGCAAGTAGTAAGCGGCGAGCAAATACGTTTTAATTAAAATATACTGCGGCCTCCCCATAAGAGCAATGAGAGAATTTATGTCCCAGTATTGAAGGACAGAAGATCGAGTTTGACATAAGTCCATCCTTGTTCAGTAGATGGATGTAATGCACATGCGCCGAAATGCTACTTTTCTATTGGCCGAATGGTGTCGAGATGGGTTATCGATTTATTTTGGACGCGTCGTCGGCGTGGATTTTGTTTTCAGTTTGGACTGGGCAGTCGCCATTAGTGTTTTCTCTAACTTTCTGTGTTTTCCACGTGTACTGTGTTTTCGTTTGTATTTTAATCTTTGTGCGTTTATTGACAATTTTGTGATTTAGTTTTAAAGACTTTTGCTGTAGTTTAATTAATAGAACAATGCGAATGGGCTACTGCTTTTTGTGTGGTAGAAGCCAACTAACCAAATTAATAATAGAAATTTTTCTCGATGTTCGTTTGTATCATGAAAGCAAAATCAGAAATGAAAGGGATGTTAATATAAGACAAAAATATACGAAACTAATTTTATTCAAAAATCAATAATTATTGTTAAAAGCATTATATTTAGTCTTACTATTTTAAATAAAAATACATTATAATGTAAAGACTAAAAATAGAGACTACATAAGGCTAATTATAATGCTTACACAGTTACACACAAACTGTCTTATTGTAAATTATTATTGTTTTTTTTCATAATAATATAAAGAGTATTTACAATGCAACAATTAAATAATTATATTTTTTGTATCTAGCTTGATTTATGTATAAACTTAATATGTACATACTTTTAGTTATATTTGTTTAATAAAAAATATGTTAATAATAAAGAATTACTTTTGTTTCATTTTAAACCAGGACTGATGTTGATTATTGATCATAAATACATGGGCAGTAAAAGAAACAATAGACAGTAAAAAATGTACTGTTATACTTTGTTTTGCTGCAATTTTTAAGTCGAGTGAAATAGATATGCAATTTGTAATACTAAGTTCTTAAGACAGTTCCTTAATTGAGGTTTTACTAAATTATTTTTTGAATTTTAAAAAAAGTGAAATAGATATGCAATTTGTACTACGAAGTTTTTAAGACAATTTCTTAATAATTGTGGTTTTACTAAATTATTTTTTGAATTTAAAAAAAAAATATCGTACCTGTCACTTTTTTTCATTCGTTTTATTTAATAATAATTGTCTAACACAACAAAGTCTACTTAGAACGATATGATATAAATATAAATGAGTTCATTAAAAAATGGTCTGATTAAAATTAGTACCTAAATAAGCAAAAATTATCCCCTCATAAAACAAGAAATTAAGGAGTTCAGTAAAAGGATTGCAACTATATATTTTATTCAGTAAATTTTCATAATAGTAAGTATAAAAGCACAATCTCTAAAACGACAATATGAATAATGTATATTAAGATTTAACTCGAGTTTCAGTGAAAAAACTATATTGATATTAAAATATTTTAATACCTTCAGAATACTAATTACATACCATAAAATAGGAGTTTTTACGATGCGGGAAGCTATCTAGAAAAAGAATTTTAGAAATCAGCAATGGGATTCTGTAAGCTCTGTAGCAAGAAATTTCCTATCGAGCCTATGCTATTTGTATACGATTGATGAGTCACTAGACAGGGAAATGTTTACAGAATCGCACTGCAGATACCTATTACGCTACTAGGAGCCCCCCATTGTGAGACAGATATAAAATAATTTTTATATACCTATTCCATAGCCTATTTTTTTAAATGTCTGTAATATTTATAATAAACTTATTTTAACGAGTAGAAGTATTGCACCAGCATCAAAATTAACACTACTTGTAAAAAACTGTTGCTCCTTGAGTTTGTAATAGATATAAACAAAATAAACATTCGAAAATAACTAAATCGAAGATATCTGAAAACTTTTGGTTGAAAAAGTGTTTTGCCATAACATGTTGGATACGATTAAAATATCTCAATTGATAAATATGCGCATAATGTTACATTATCAAACTTATTTGATTTCAGAATATTTAACAAAAAGCTTCCAATTTTTCGAAAGATTTAATTCAATTATTAGAACGTCTTTAACCTCAACTTAAAATAAATAAAACCAAAACAAAACATATCATATGATTTGGAACTGTCCAATCAAAGTGCTTACAGATCGAGCAAGCGCAGAAAACCTCCTCCCGAACAAGGATAGACTTATGTGGGAAATGCATTGACATTCTATAGCCATCCTTCAACATCGGGACAGGAATTTAAGCGGTACTCTCCGTATATTTTATTAAAACGTATTTGGCGGCGAGCGATTCGCTTGATCGCTTGATTTAGTTTATTTCAAAGCATTGTCGATGTAGGCCGTAAAATTTTGTCCCTCAGATACGCAACGGATAAATATACCGGGTGCGTCTCAAAAGTGGCTCACCCCTATAACTTTTTTTATTTTTTCAGATAAAACAACGAGATTTGGTATGTTAGTATATGACATAAATTAGGATTGATTGACATATTGAATTGTTTTCGGTTACATCCGGTTTCACCGGAAATGACTTTTGATTTTTAAATCGCACCCTCGGTATTTTTTACTTTATTCGGTAGAATGACATTCTGAATAGAATGACATATCACATGTCAACTTTTGACATTTTCGCATATGGTTTATTTGAAATTGTAACATGCGGTTCATAACGACAATTTGACTCGAAGTACCAAGTGGTATTAAATTATTCGTAAAGAATTCTTTTTCGAAATATGCTAATGAGCCACCCTCTTTCCATTTGAAAAAAATTGAGATATGATAAAAAATACGATTTGGGCGTCTTTTAACCAGCCAGGGCAAGACACTAAAAACATTAGACGATCAAATCTATTTTTCCAAGGCTCCTTGATTAAAAATAAGTGTTTTTAACACAGCCATGGCACTCTAGATTGAAATTTAAAATATAATTTGTTTTTAAGCGAATATGTCAAAAGTTGACATGTGATACGTCATTCTATTTAGAATGTCATTTTCTATCGAATAAAGTAAATAAAATACCGAGGGTGCCATTTAAAAATTAAAAATTGTAGTAATTTCCGGTGAAACAGGAAGTGACAGAAAACAATTGAATACGTCAATCAATCCTAATTTATTTTATTATGCATTTATGTTATATATACTAACATACCAAATCTCATTTGTTTATCTAAAAAAAATAAAAAAGTAATAGGGGTGATAGGTAATAGGTATAAATTTGCTACCTGCAATATATATATATATATATATATATATATATATATATATATATATATATATATATAGAAAATTCGCTCGGCTTTTTATCGAGTATGTCATCGGATTTCAATTTATTTCATTCTAGGATCGCTTGCGTTCGTCGCTTGGTACTCGACACCTGCATCGCTCGTTCATAATCGAGCGATGTCGGTTATTTCAATAATCGAGTACTCCCATCACTAATAATGACCAATAGTGGACCCTAAATTCTACATAAACATAGTTCCAAACTGCGGCAAATGTCGCCAATTCCTATATAAAATTCCCTGTAAAATTCACTACAAATTACGTTACTGTAGCAAAATCCGTCTTATATAATTGCTTTTTTTTGTAATTATTGTTGCAAATCCCGCATTTTTTCATAGGTTTTTTGTAATATTACTACAGACGCCTTATCCATTTGAAATCCTTACTTAATTTTAATAAAATAGCATACCTAATAAATAATTCCAAGTTAGCATGCAAGTTATTTGCATCCTAACTTGGAATTATTTACTTTATCTTATCACATATCTTTGCATCAAACAGCAAAAAAATCCCAAAACCCGCAATATGCATCATACTGCAACAAATTCAGCCTTATCTGGCGACCTTATTTCTAGAAAAACCAAATACAATTTAATGGACATGTTTTTTTGTAAAAAACGCTCCAAACCTTTGCTAAAATAGTTTGTGCGTATTATCTCGAAACAACGTTTTTGCGATACGACGGGTTTTGCAACTTGACGCCTTATATATTACATACTAATACCAAATAGTAGAGTAAATATTTTTCAATAAATAATAATTATAAATCAAGAGAAAAGAGAACTTCTTGGACTTTTCAGATTAGATTTGGAAAACTTTCACACCCTTTTACTGCCCGTCAACGAGAACAAGCCGCTGGACGCCCAGGCGCTAAAACGAATTAAAATGACCCTTCAGGAGTCCGGACCTCGAATACTGGCCAATCACCTCACCAAGACGGACCTTGATCTAATTTTCGGCAAGTTCGAAGCCGAATTGCCCGTAACGAACCTCAGCAGCGGCATAGAGCTGTGCACTCTACCTCACGGCTTCCTTCTTAGACACGACCTTATAGAAAGGTAATTCTATATGGCTCTTTATAATTGGCTTTGCTTTAATCACTTTAGTCCCATTTTTTTGTACTCAGTGCAGGCAAAACACTTTATGATATTTTTATAAATTAAAAAAAAATAATTGGACTTTTTTTATCCGCAAAATTGTAAGCTATGCTATATTTTTTATCCAGAGTCATACAATAATGGTTGGAGTTTTGTTCACACATGTTAAGCTATTAAAGTGATATTTTATCCACTGGTGGGATAATAGTATATTGTTTTATTAGGAGTAAAAATGATACTTTTTGTGGCGGCGCTGTACGCTTGACATTACAGGCAAGACACAGAAAGACATTTTTACTCCGAATAGATTGCTATTTTTTTTCAAAGGTCACAAATAATTTTTTAAACAATTTTAAACGTTCCAAATAATATAAAAAGATTTAAAGGTAACACATTGTAAGTAATTATCAAGGTAATTATAATATCGAGAAACTATGGTTGCGGCTCGTTGAATTTGATACTTTATGTCAGTTTAATAATATTCTATATCAAAGAATATACCAAGAAAAAGAAAGGAAAGTGCCTTACTAAAAAATGGTTCCATGTTAGTGGCGCCATCTATTGTAAGGGTCAGAATTTAAATACGCTCATTTATATAATTTCACTTGAAACTATCGTTTTAAATATGGAAACCAGCTTAAAAGTTATTTTTTACACTATATTAACAAATCTAATGCAAAACTTTACTATGCGTTGTGCAAGAAATAAAATTTAATAGTAAAATTTATACATAAAAAAATAGAAGTCAAATATATAAGCGTCGTTTATTGAAATATAAAAAGACCAACGTAATACGCCCAAAGTTTTGTAAATGGAGTAAATATAAATATGTAGGTACTTAAATGATGGACAAAATAAAAGACTTACATTATATTTTACTGCCACAAACAAAAAGAATTGTCTAATTAAAATACATATAGTAAAAATTATACTTTGAAAATCGTTTTGATAACCATTCTATAATATGATTGGCGTTATGACGACAATATTTTTTGAGAATTTTACAATAGTATGACAATGGCCGTTTGAAACTATGAAAACTACAAAAAAATTCTGATTTAACGTCATCTGGCAATATCTAGTAGCAACTTCCTAACCTAAAAATTTGCACTAGCGACCGGGGCTGGAACTATTTTATTTGAAAAATTTATTTTGTTTTTGCTATTTCACTTTCCCGCACCTGTTCTATACTGGGTGCGTCTCAAGAGTGGTTCACCCCTATAACTTTTTTATTTTTTCAGATAAAAAATCGAGATTTGGTATGTTAGTATATGACATAAATTAGGATTGATTGACGTATTCAATTGTTTTTCGTCACTTCCTGTTTCCCCGGAAATGACTACAACTATTGATTTTTAAACGGCACCCTCGGTATTTTTTTACTTTATTTGATAGAAAATGACATTCCGAATAGAATGACATATCATATGTCAACTTTTGACATTCTCGCTTAATAAAAAATCTTATTTTAAAATTCAATCTATAGTGCCATGGCTGTGTTAAAAACACTATTTTTTTAAATTCAGAATGTCATTTTCTATCGAATACCTAAAGTAAAAAAAAATACCGATGGTGCCGTTTAAAAATCAAAAGTTGTAGTCATTTCCGGTGAAACAGGAAGTGACCGAAAACGAAATTGAATACGTCAATCAATCCTAATTTATGTCATATACTAACATACCAAATCTCGTTTTTTTAATTGAAAAAATAAAAAAGTTATAGGGGTGAGCCACTTCTGAGACGCACCCGGTATATAAATATAATTTTCGTATTTTTATGATTAGGCTTTGGCTTAGGCGTAAAAGTACTTTACTTTAATGCCGAGAGCTTATAATGACTCTTTTATATTGACAATCACGTCGCAAAAACTAATACTCTTGTGACGTTTGAAAAAAAATAACTTTATTTTACTAGGGGAATATTGATATAACGATTTTTTTATTTTATTTATTACCATTAGTATTAACATTTATATTAATAGACAATTCGGTACAAACATGGAATGCTTTAACCACATGGATGAAATTGCTTTTATTTTTTTCATGTTTTAAAAGATAACATCTTCATTTATTTACATTACCCTCCGTTTTTCTCACACTTTTTCGTAATGTTCTCTAGACTTCGACAGTCAAGTAAATGGCTAGTTGCTTCGTAAGCTTCCGCAAAAATTGCTGCAGGGATACATCATTATTTTGTTTTTGAAGTGAAACTTCTTTATGCGCGATGGGAGTAAAAATTCAAGGCTCAAAATTCATTAAAATTTTCCTTAATCCGTCTCTGTTCAGGGACCATGCTGAAACCTCGTAACCCGAATAGTGGATCTCAACTGAAGCGCTCTACATGCTGCCAACAATCTACCGAATTTTGTCCGCCCTGCGAAAAATATTTAGGAGAGTGGAGCTACTCTATTTCCTCATACTATGGATATGCGAGCTCAAAACTTTTTGTTCTCTTTAACCAGTCGAACAGATTTTACCTATTGAAAAGCTACTAAATCGAAAAATCTTGAAATAATCAAAAAGGCTCGATATCTTGACTAAAAACCGTTCAAAGTGTGTGTCATATTTTAAGGATTTTAAATTTAAAATCTTCCCGGAAATATTCGTCATATAAATGCAGACATGTATTCCTTGATTTATATTATACGAAAATATAAGATATGTACCTATCTAATACCATTCTTTTCAATTTCAGAACCGAATGCTTGAAACTGTTAGTGGCAGTAACGATTCTAACTTGTCCCGATGTAACGGAACGAACGGAAACATTGAACAAATGGATAGAAATTGCGATCGATACGAAAACAGCGTTGGGCAATTTGTTTGGATTTTGTGGAATCATGTTAGGGCTTTGCTTGCCTCAGGTACGTACGTATATATATAAACAGCACTTTCGCAGTTACACAAAATATACAGTGGCCACCAAAAAGTTTCCAATAGGAACATTTTTTATATTCTTATTATTCGATTTTTTTTGAAAAAAAGTTTATTCTGAATCAATTCAGCATACTTAAAACAAACAGAAAATTCCATACAAAATACAACGCGGACCACCGTGTATAGAAAATGATATTACTATAGTATTTGTCTACTTTTTTTTAGATCGAACGACTAGATACGACGTGGCACATGCTGCGCCAAAAACACACCGACTCGGCCTTCAACTTCGAAGCCAAACTCCGCCCAACCTTGAAGAACATGAACAGTTGCTCAAATCCTCAAGCTCCTAATACTACAATACCCCACTTACTACCTTTAATACTACTTCTCGAAAGAGATCTACAAGATTTCGTTAACGCCTCCAACCAAACGACCCTCACACAGAGCTGCCTCAGCCCCTGGGAGTCAAACACTCAAGACTTCGGACTCAGTACTTTACTAAATCATCTACAAGCTTCTAGAAAGTACACGGACTTGCACCATACTTACCAAAGAAACGCTGAGATAGTACTTAATGAAGCAAGATTGGACGAATTGACGTTGGATATGTTTAAAACAGAATTCCACCTGAAGTTCCTGTGGGGCAGCAGAGGAGCATTTGCTTCGGCGCAGGATAGGCACAGTAAATTTGAGCAAGTACTTACGGTGCTGTACGAGAAATATTGTAATTTTATAGAGGAGAACGAAGTTCAGTAAGTTTACACGGCGTTAACTGTTGTTTATAAATTTTCTGACTGCTAAAAAATAGGTTGGGAATTACCGGAGTACTATGATTTATCTAATACTAGAATATAAGAACAGAATGTTATTAAAAAAATAAACAAAAACTGCCCAAGGTATTATAGAGGAACATTCATTTAAACTTTTAATCTGTAGCGCCGGCTAAAAAGGTGGGAGAAATTTTTATCAATGAAAAAAAGTTTATGGGGAATTGATTCTTTGTATCTCTATGCCCAGTAACCTTCGAATAAAATGATTAAAGGAGCATAATGCTATCCATGTATTCCATATATGACAGAGATGGGGACCTAGGGTAGGGATCCTTGACAGTTCTGTACGACGTTTCATGTGACACATTTGAATTTGATTTGAAATTTTGTGGATTTGGTTATCTTTACTGGGCTTATTTTATGTTATTTATTATTTATTCTACAACTGGTAGTTATTTAGAGGTAGTAAATCTATAAGAAAATTGTACAAGAACTTAAATTAACAGTGACACTATTGCGATTTATCGAAAGAGTCTATAAAATAGTTGGTTGTCTAGCGTGCAGTAGATCTCGATTAAAAATCGAGGGAGATGGAATAAGTTTTTTACTAGTAAGAGTGACGAAGAATATACATACGTGTAGTAAACCTATCATTTATGAAATTCACTTAGAATTAACTAATTATATATTTTTTCTTGCAATTTCGCTTTTATTTACTACTTGTCAAAAAAAATTAGATACGTTAATTTGACTGATGTGCTTCAGTAAGTTCAGTAGCGGATCTAATGCTTTTGTTTTTAAATAATTATATCTACTTTTTATTAAAAATATATATTTTTATAACAATCTCAATAACTACTAACATTTATTAACAATGTAAAATAACACAACAAATTATTAAGTCTATCCTAACATTATATTTTTACAAATTTTGAGTAAAATTAGAACGGCACTGATAAACCGGAATTTAAGTCGGCCATTTTAGGTCCCCATTGCACACGACCTAACTTTTTTCATATGCTCCTTTCTTATCTTTGCTTTGATTCATATAATAAAAATAATGTACTTTTTTTTTGAAAATTTTCATTTTGCATTGAAAACAATAGCTCTTTGGCGTCAGAGTTGGACTGGAAATCGAGATCGCTGTCACTTGTGTAAAATTATATGGCGTATATTATCGATCATCACTCACTATATCCTGTATATGGTGTTAATTTGTTTATTACTCGCGATAACAGCTTTAGAAAGAATATAATATAGCTGGTTGAAATATAGCAACCTCGGCCCGCTCGTCGATAGACGACGCGACGGGATGAGTCGGCAGAAAACCCTATAAGTGTATGGTTTCTCAATAGGCAGTGTTGCCATTCTGTTCCCCTATAAGTAACTGTCCAGTTAACAATCTGTATATTAACACGAATTAATAAACATAAACAATTTTCTTTTATAACACCATACGACGGAAATAAGACGGCGTCAGATTTGGCTTAGACATGGCAGTCGCTATTTTACACGTAAACTTATGGGCGAATGTCATCGATCGTTATATTTTCAAGCCGACATGACGCCGTTTTTTTTTCATCATACAGTCCTTTTTTTAGAGATCATCTCTGTACTTTTCACTTTTTACTTTATATTTTATTCATCTAACACCACTTATTACATATTTAAAAATATTTTCATCCTGTATTAATTCCGCATAAACTTTTTTTATAACATAATAAAATGTTTCCCGTTTCTTGCAAATTTTTTGATGGACTTAAAACATCACAGACCAGCAACTAGAGTATTATTTAAACTTCTTTACATTAAATTATGACCTGAATAATACTTGCAAGCGTAAAAAATACGAAAATAAAACAAATCTCATCAAAAATTAAATTTGTAAAAATTGTATTTACTTGTGAATATAATTATTCTGTACCATTATATATGTAATTATAATTATTTGCTGTATATAGTTGTCAGAGCAATAAATAGTACTTATATCTTATTTTAAATAACTAACGCAACCAATATTGGCTCATTATTTTTGAACTATGCTCAGTTAATATACATGGTGATCATATTTTAATTGGATAAAAAAGCAGGCGATTAGAGATATTTTCAGTTCAAACCCATAAAACAATCGTTATAAACTAAAACACGCTCATCATATATCACACATGAACAAAAAGCAGTAATGTGATTTCATAATTAAATATTTTACTGTAAAAACACCTTATAAACAATCTAAACTTGGAAATAATATTTTTTGTCATGTCCTATAATTCTTAAACGTAACCTTTTCCAATATGACAAAAAACGAACACATCTTTTTAAATACTGCTAAAACGTATTAACTAAGAAATAGTTGAATGGCAGAATAAAATTGCCTGCCATTCAAATTATTCTGAATACAGACGTTAAAGCAGCGTCCTACAATAATAGAGGTCATTTGTATCCACTGCCTAAATGTCATATACCATATGACAAATGTCAAAACGTTGATAATTTGTCTGAGAAGAACTGTAAATTATTTGTTTAAAATAGGATCCCTCTGTATATACCAAATGAGATATTTGATAATGCTTATTTGCTAATGATGAATTGAAAAGTTTAAATGATGTTTTGTAAGTTTATAAGCATAAGAATCGGCCTAAGATTAGCTTGCTATTCTCATATTAATATTAATATTAATACAATAGCAGAATGTTCACTATGATGAAGTTAGAAGTAAAAAAAATCTCTACTGTTGGGTCAATTTTTATGATACAGTATGATTTCGAAACAATACAAAAAAAATGTAATCACTGCCTAAGACCGCAAATTAAAAATAGATCGCACTGCCATGCTTTATCGAAAATTTACATATTATGTATTTATGTAGTTTAAGCATACACATAAATTTTGTTTCCTCTAAATTTTATTTGTTTCTTATATCCATAAAATTAAAGATTATTAAAATAATTATTATTTTTGATATAGTTTCTTAATGCTAGATCATAAACATTTTTACTCCTATTAATTTAAGTAAAGGTAAATGGTAATACAGTTAAGTATTTAATTTTAATACATTGTAAGTTTTAAAATATCCTTTCACAATGTACTTCCGTCGTAACAGTTTACGAGTTACAGCCGACCTCCTATTATTTGACCAACCTATACCATCCTGGACACTTCATCTGTGTGGTACTATATTTTAATGCATGCGACAGAGATAAATATAAATGACCGGTTGACAGACAGAGAAACAAAATAAAAAGCGGCAAACAGTGTTGCCGGTTTTTAAGCGTGTAGGAAAATGTGTGTAGAAAAAAAATAAACTATTTTCAAAACTTTCATGTATACTACTGAAATGAAGATAATATATCTAAGCTAAATATAATCTATTACAGCTGTAGTAAGATGAGTAACTAATTGGGGAAAATAAAGTTATTCCAACCCTAGATGCAATATTTTTCGTAAACGCCTCCTTGTGCGGCTTGAAATTTTAATGCAAAATCCGGCAATACCGCCATAAAAGAAATGTATCAACCCAACTTTTATCTATTTGATTTTATATGAAGCTGACTACATCACTGTATTACAATTTAAAATCCAGAGCACACAGTTTCGATGACCAGATTGGTATAATGTCAAGTGCAATTTAGACATTGACAGTTAAACAAATTCTCATACGAATTGTTTATCTGTCAAAGTCTCTCATGATATCTTATGATATATTAAAAAACTTAGCATATTATTTTTTTTTAATTTTAAAAATACATCTAATACCAAACTATCAAATAAAAGACGGCGTCAAAGATGGCTTGAAAATGAAGATGGCTATCATTTTGTATATAGAATTATATAGAGAATATCATCGACCGATCATTTCCAAGACAACTGGGCGCCGTTTCTTAGATCATAGGTATTTTTAAAATTATGCAAGTATAAGAAACAAATGAAATTTTGAGTTCTACGTATCTGTTATAGCATCTACAGATAAGTTTGTTAACGGCTAAGCTAAAATTAATGACTATTTTTTGTCATGGTATCTTAAAAATGACGACAATGGCACAATATAATTTTACATATAAATTGTCATCATTTTGTCATTTCTAAGGTTACTGATTGCCTATTGATTCATGATTTTTCTTCATTAAATATGTTATATGGCCCAAAAAACTTAATTTAAAGCTTAGTATTCCATACAGAAGGAAACTTGGACCAGCAAATTGTTATATACTAGTAATTTTAGTTAGCTAGAATCATAACAAAAAAAATATTTTATTTTTAATAACAAAACGTTTTAGATATAAAAAATGTCATAGTGTATACAAGTCATTTTGATGATATGATTAGTGATTCAGTTTTACATATCAGGATACGCATCATTATTAATACAAAGACGCTCAAATGTGGAAAATATTAAATAAACAAAATAACAATTTCAAGTTTAATTTTTATACAGGGTGGTCCGAGTTGTAATCGGGAAACTGCGGCAGTGTACGCTGCTGATAAAAATAAGTAAAAAAGTTCGTATAAATTAATGTCCTAAAATGCTTCGTTTGGAAGATACAGGGTGTAGAAGTTTCATTTTTATTTTGATTTATTCCAAATAAGTTCTGAACTAATATAAATATTGTGGGCGTACAGCGAAAATCCACTAAGTCACATTTTTGGTTGAATTGGATTAAACACACCACTGTCCAGTTTTTCACGGTCTTTAACATGAAAAACTCATTAAGTCCAATTTCGGCATCCTTATAATATAAGGATGCCGACTTAATAAAGACCGTGAAAAACTGGACAGTGGTGTGTTTAATCCAATTCAACCAAAAACGTGACTTAGTCGATTTTCGCTGTACGCCCACGATATTTCGATTAAAATTGTCGTCTGGTTGTATTTTGACATGAGAAATTTGATTTCAATATTAACATGAGTCCTACTTGCAGAGAGCGCTACCTACATATGTTTTTACTGGTTTGAAGAATAATAACTTTTCCCCCTACCTGTATAAAACTACTAAGGGAAAAATACTATGTGGTTGTCAAGATATTTGGAATCGAACTAATCAATACATGTAATCATTGACAAAAAAAATAATAGATAATTAGACTGAAATTATAAATTTGTACAAATGTTTTTGCCTCAAAAGAAAATATTTTATCATAATTTTTTTCTAAACAAATCAAGATTAATTAAAAAAAGTTCCTGTATTTATCATTTCAGTCAAATAATTATTATCTACTCAACATGTTTATTTTTTATCAATAATGACATTAGTATTGATAATTTACATTCCAAATATCTTGAAAACAGTTAGTTGTAGCGTTTTTTTTTCCAAGAGGCCTTTTTTACGTAGAAAAGGAGAAAACCTATATTTTTCACTCAGTAGTTTTATACAGGTACAGACAAAAAGTTACTCTTCAAACCAGTTAAAAAATGTGTACGTAGCGCCCCCTACAAGTAAGAATTATATTGACATTGAAGTCCCAAATTTCTCATGTCAAAAAACACCCAGACACTAATTTTCATCCAAATATCGACGTTAATTCAGAAATTATTTAGAAAAAATCAAAATAAAAATGAAACTTCTACACTCTGTATCTCTGATACAAAGCCATTTTTGGACATAAATATATATGAACTTTCTTACTTATTTTTATCAGTAGAATATGCTGCCGAAGTTTCCTGAATACAATTCGGACCCCTGTATGTAGGTTTAAGATTTTTGTTTCAGGAATCATGTTTCATCAAACCTATTTAATATTTTCCAATCAAAACCTCTCCTCGGGCTTTTACAAACATGTATAAAAGCTTTAACAATATAACTATTAGTCATTAGGTTTTTATAAGAGGTGCTCATTGATTTATTGTAAAATACTTGTTAGTAGTAGATGCATTTAAAAAGAAAATCAAAAAATGTTAGCCAGCTAAACAGCATAATGTTTCCTTTATCTTCAATATTTGACAATACAACAGGAAGACTGCAACTCTATTGCTAAATTTCTTAAGGTCCTATATCCTATAAATATTTAATGTAGAATGTATTATATTAAAATGGGCATAACAAAAACAACCATGTATAATAGGACCTGAAGGATTTGTTTATAAAAATTACGATTTTGAAGTTATTTAAACGAGCTATTAGATAAAAAAAACTATTATAGATAAACATACTTCAATCAGCTTCCATATAGAAATTTAAGAATGTTAAAAGTTACACACTATACAGAGTGTCCCAAATTTGAGACTCATCATTGGGATCTCTTAAACTAGAAAATATATGAGTTCGGTTAAATTGAGACAAACTTGATGCTAATACAAATTCAAATGCACAAGTTAAAGGTTTTTGAAAAAAAAAACGAATATTTGCGATGATCCTCGTTACATTTTGAACGCCGCCAAACGCGTGCCGAGCTCAGCGAACTTTCTGGCCGCGACTACGTCTCCTATTCGCTGTTTTAGTCGATAGGTGATGCGGTTTCCTAAACACATCTCGTTCGCGGTATAAAATGAAAAAATCGTCGCGCGTCATGATTCGATAGTAGAGTACATTCTTCTCCTGCATTTGAAGAAAATGTAATAAAAGTTTTCGCAAATATGCACACTAGAAGAATTGACCTTAATTTTAAAATTTAAAATCCAACAGACACATTCACAGCTTTGTTTTTTTTTACCTAAATTTAATTCATTTTTTAAATTGGCTTGATTATTTTTTTAACTGGTTACATTTTTTGTATATTTATTTTAGTTTTGTAACTTCAAAATTAAAGCCTTTAATAAAAAAAGAAAAAACTGTATTGTGTTATGTGCCGCCGAATGATAGCATCATCAGCAGATGATTAAAACTCAAAACTAGCTTTGTTTTAATTGTCTGTGATACTCATCTCAGTTTAATCAATCTTGTATCTCCTCCAGTTTCCAATATCTCATTTATGAGGTTTCAATTTGGGACACCCTGTACACAAAAAATAATTAATTTTTTTTACAATTATTGTCACTCTCAGCTTTTTTTCAAAATTGATCTACCAAACTGTGGGTTATATTTGACTATTAAGGAAAAAGTATTTTTTTCTTACATTAGTATTATCTATTGTGTGTGAGAATAAAACACAATAAATTTGAAAGAAATTTTTAGTGCATATGTATTAGAATGGACTAGCAGTTTTATATGTCCAATATAGTTCTTAAAATTGAGCAACTGTTATCGCAAGCTATTAGAACTTACTTTAACAATCTACATTAATGCTTACTACTGACTGAATTGTGATTTTGGTAAAATTATTTAATGTTTACATGATTTTTTATGTGATGTTATTGTAAATTAAACTTATAACAAAACTGTATTTAGCTACATACATATATGTATATTATATTAATATAAATATCTTAAAATAGTTTTAATAATTTATTAACGGGTCTATTATATATTAGAAGCAGTAAGAACAGTTGTTAGAGATAAAATTGTAAGAAAAATGTATAGTGCTAGAATAGGAATTATGTGTAATAGCAGTGTTGAGTAATAATAATATGAAATTATATCAATTTGTTTTATTACACAGCCTTATGTATTATTTATTCACAATTCCATGATCATAAATATATTTCTTTAAAGTTTCAAATTTGAACATTTAAAGAGCCAAAGTAAACCTCTTGTTTTAAGATAAAATAATTTTTTAAAATTATATAATTACTTTTCATGGCAATTTTATTATTTCTTCTTTCACATGTTTTGGCAATCTTATCCTTTTCCGTTTTTTCTTCTCAATTTCAGATTTTGCATCTTTCTTATGAATTGAGTTATTTTGTTCAGTATTTCCTTTTTTCTTCTTTTTACATGAAAGTGGATTTGGACCTTTCCTTTTCCTCTTTCTTATATGAACTTTTTCATCCTTTATTAAGCCGCATTTTTCTTTTAACTTTTCAATTCTTTGAATTTCAGGTTCTGATATTCCCGATATTCTTTCTTCTGCTTTTTTAATAGACGCTTCAGAAGGTTTCTCCAAAACAGGTGTTTTTATATGAAGGTAGAGTAATGGCACACCTAGAAGAGCATTAGAATTACAAAGAAAACAATTTTGTGTCTATGTAAAGCTAACTAAAAGGTCTAACCTGTAACAGTTCTAATTTTATCTTGTAGTTCTCTATCTTGAGTGCAGACAATATAATGATTGGAATTTCCTTTCTTAACCATTGAAAGTAAACACTTAGATGCATTTACAGGTTTACCCTCATGACCACATTTATGAACAATGTATTTTTTAAGGATAATTAAAGCTCCGTTCAACTTCGGTCCTAAATTTTCCATCTCCATTATAGCACACTGGGTTGTAATAAGTTTTATTTCGCCTTGCAGATATTTCGGAATATCATTTACAACGTTAATTTTATTCTGGAAAAAAAAGGATTAACAGAGACAACTACTACAACTATTACTAGTAATTTGACTCTGGCAGACTCTGGTATTATGTTAAATTTAGGGACCTATGTACTTACATTAAGTGCAGCAAAGCAAAAAGTTCCATCAGCCAGTAATTGATATGGTTGTCTAAATCCAAAGGTATTAATATAAAAACCTAAGTTTTTGTTAACTTTCTTATATCGTTTAATTTTCATCCTAAAAATAAATTTTACTTTAACAAGAAAAATATAACCTTAAAAATCGAATTTACCATAGAACAAAAAAAAACGTAAGGATGGGACATTTGGACCCATAAGACATCTGAACTACTGAATCTGTGGTATCAATATCTCTGTCGGTATTTTAGACATTTACTTTATCAACAAAAAAATCAATGTTAACCTAAAAAAATCTGAATAAATTAGACAAGGTCCTTTTTTTATTATTAATTTCTTCACAAATTTTGCTCAAACAAAAATAAGACGAGTTCGCTAGTCTGTTTTGCTTCGAAATAAGAGGTAGATAATTATATTTAAGCGATTCTATTTTCATTTATATGATTGCATCCAAGATATAATTAAAAATGCATATCTAGTAATGTTTGTTTTGTAATTTTAGAGAGTGTATTGCATTGTTAATTATATAGTCGCTAGATAAGGATATACAATGTCAACAACATTCGCAAGAACAAATAGCCCCAGACAACCACCAAACCCCCAACAGATTCAAAAGTTATTAGATGAAAATGGACATCTTATACAAACAATTCAAGAATATCAAAGTAAAGGGAAAGCTCAAGAAGTTATGCAGTATCAAACACAGTTGCATAGAAATTTGGTATTTCTAGCAACTATTGCTGATAATGCACAGAATGTTAATTCTCTATTACCGGTAACTTCTTTTTTATATCAAAAATAAACTTATTTTATATCTGAATTAGTTTATTTCTATCTATAAACTACTATTGTAGTACTTAGTTGATTTGTTAGTATTTATGAACCAAGGAAAACAAATTACAGATGATACAGCCTCCAGGACCTGGCGGTCCCCCTCCGGGACAGCCAGGAGGTCCTCCACCACCAGGGCAGCCACCAGCACATGGTCCTCCTCAACCTCCTGCACAAGAACAGCAACATATGAACAATTACAACCATCAGCAACAACAACCCCCACCCGGCGGGTATAGGCAACCAGCTGGTCCACCACCCCAACCTGGAAGACCTGCAGCTGGTGTTCCTCCAGGAGGTCCTGGTAAAAAGTTAAATGAAAAATTAGATTATGATGTTTATTCATTACAAGCTTTTAGCTCCACATCCAGGATATCCCCAGCGTGGATACCAACAGGGTCAGTATCCTAATCAGTATCCTCCACAAGGTCAGGGATACCCTCAAGGTCAATACCCTCCACCCAATCAACCACCTATATATCCACCAAATACGCAAGGTAATTACGGACAACCACCCCCAACCACTGCAGCTCACAACTCTTATCAACAACCAGGTATTAAGTTTTTAATAAGCTATTACAGCAAAATAAAACACTAAATCACCACAATACACCAAAACACTTTTACTTTTACACTGGACGCGCGTTTCGCTAACCATGTTAGCATCATCAGCAGATGATTAAAACTAAGTTTTTAATTAAAACAAGTTTTAATCCATAGAAGAAATGCCAACCACACCAAACTAAGTTTTTAGTTAAAACGAGTTTTAATCATCTGCTGATGATTCTAACATGGTTAGCGAAACGCGCGTCCAGTGTAAAAGCAAAAGTATTTTGGTGTATTGTGGTGATTTAGTGTTTTATTTTGCTGTGTAACACCAAAGATTCCAACCCCCAACTGTAGCTATTACAGCAAAAATATTAATATATTCTTTTTATAGGATATGGAACTCCACCACCTTCTTCAGGTGCTCCTCCCCAGGGTCCCCCAGCTGGTCCATATCCACCTCCAAATCCTCCGCCACCACAATCTCAACCAGGACCCTATGGTGCTCCTCCAAATGGTCCGGCACCATACTCGGGGGCTCCGCCTCCACAAAATTATCCACCACCTCAAGGTAATCAATAATTTTAATCTGTAAATAATGTTTAACAAAATATCTAAACTACATATTTTTGTTTTGAAAGAAATGAAAATATGATTTTGGATTATTGGCCCATTATAACTGATAAATTACTTTTTTATACCTACATAAATTAATGAGGATACCACTGTAATTGGATAAACATTATAAGATCAATATTTTGTGTGTAATAATGTGTGTATAAACATTACATATAAGGCTCTACTGTAAGGTAATTTTTACAAGGAACTAATAAAATGTATGTAGTGTCTTGTAAATAACAGATATATTTTGTGGTAAAGAATATACATTCCAATTCACTTAAAACAAAAACTCGTAATATAAAACTAAAAGTGTCAAAACTAATAGTGGGAACTATCGAATGAATACTATCAAAACATTCGATAGTTGCAATTCATTCGAATAATTCGATAGCTAGTAAGAAAACATTCGTCGAAAACTATTATTATAAACAAATAAAAATTATCTTACTTTTGCGCGCGCGGCGAATATGTCCATGGTTGGCGACAATGAATTTAATAATCGCGCCCTTGATGACGTAACTGAAAGTTTATTTGGTATCGAATATATATCTCACTGTATTTTTTTCTGAAGATTCACAATTTAATTCTTTTATCTGCATCTTCAGTTAATTGTATTACCCTCTCTTCAGGGACAATACGTATAGAACTTATGGAATTTTGCGTTTCCATCAGTAATGTATTTGTTGTTGTTACGTCTTACATACATGAATACTAGATAGCACACAGCCACAGTACAGGATATATACTTCATTTTATTTATTTTTTAAAACTAATTACTTTTGGCTTAGAAATGACTAAATGTTTAAGCATACATTTATATCACAATGGCCTATATTTAGGTGGTTATCCACCCCCACAACAAGGATATGCACCTCCTCCGCCTCAGCCAGCGCAGCAACAAGGTCCCCCTCCACAAGGACCCCAGCCTGGTCCATACGGTCCTACTCCTGGACAAGCACCTCCAAATCAGAGTAAATGTTTTACTATATTATTGTATAGAACAAATTATATTATACTGTATTTTTTTTAAATTTTAGCACCTCCTCCACAAAACTATGGCCAAAGTAATGCTCAATCTCCACCGTTTTCGGCTCCATCTTCAAGCAATCCCAGTCCAGCTGTTAGTACAGCGTCGCCTCCGTCTGGTCCTGGAGGTCCAGCTCCCCCTCCAGCATCACAGCCCTACCCCTCACAGCCACCATACAACCCGAATTCTCAGACCAATCCAAATGCTGGGTAAGTTAATAGTAACTTTTACCCTCAAAATTTCATTTGAAAAGCTAAAAGTACTTGGAAGAAAATTATAATAAATCAAAAAAATATTAAGACTTTAACACCCTGTAGCTACAAAACAAAGCAAAATCGGACCTATGTTGATATGAAAAATAAGTCTTATTTTTACATGCGGAATCTCCCCACAAGAGATGGCACATGTTGTTTGAAACAAAATGAATTTAGCTTAGATATATTATCTTTATTTCAGTAGTATACATGAAAGTTTTTAAAATAGTTTATTTCTTTCTAATTTATTTAAAGATAAGATAAAAATACACTTATGCCGTGTCGACAAGAGAATGGTCTTGGGTCGGCGTTTACCTACATGTGTAGAAGTGAATCACTATGGCGATCTTGTAAGTCGAAGAGAGAAAAATGCGAAAAAAATTTAATACTTATCCACACATATCCCTACACTCGTATAAGCCGGCAACACTCATTTATATTTATTTCTGTCGCGTGCATTAAAATACAGACCATGGAAATAAAGTATCCAAGGCCCTATATCTTATTATATTTATAGATAAAAATGAAATTTGATCAAATAATAAATGTATTTTTTTCAGTTACACACCACCACCGCCAAACCAATACCCACCTTATGGACCACCTTCAGGCACCAACTACCCCCCTCAACCGAATTACCCGCCACAGCCGCAGTACAGCCAACAGCCTCAGGGATACCAATATCCAAGGCCGCCGGCTGGCCAAGGACCACCGGGTCCACCGCCCCAAGGACAGTACGGGTATAATTACCCGCCACAGCCTAACCCACAGTAAGAGGTTTTGGGTTGGGTTCTCTAACTGTCTATTACAAGTAAGATGAGTTTATGGTATTAAATTAAACAGTTTCTCATTTTTATAACACTTAAAAAATATGCAAGACATATTGTAGGTTTTTAAATTACAAATTAAAGAACTTCTGTCTATACAGGGTGAGTCTTAAATAAGTGCAAATATTTTCAGGGCTGGTAGATCTCGATAAAAGAAACATAAAAAATGTCTATACCTATGTGGCGGATTCATCTCTCCAAAAAAATCCTTTATGGGTATTTCGCCACTGCACTGCAAGAAAATCTACAAGATAAAATAGTTATTTTTTGTAAACACTTCTGCGTTAAACCTAAACGGACACTGCTTGTTAGAAGTTATGTTTACAGTTATACAAATTTGCCTAAGAAAAAAATGCTTAACGTTTCGGAAAGTTTATCTCTTTCCGTCGTCGGAATCAAAAAAAATACAAAGAATAAAGAAAAAAACTATTTAAAATATCATTCATCATTCAGAAAAAAATTCATCTATTCGAGAACACTTTACTTTTTTAAAACAGATACGTCTACAAGAAACCGTCAGCGGAGAGGAGTAGAAACATATTTTCTCTTTACCATTTTTTAAATATGTAGGTCCAAAATAACCGAGTTATTTAAGTTTTAAATTAAAAAAAATTGATTTTTTTTGAAAAATTTTGAGAGCCACCGGATTTTTTCTATATTTGCATCCCTTTTAGTGCCGTAACCATAGAGTAAAGCTGTAACTATGGTAATATCAGAGATTAAAAAATTATACCGTGGGAAAATTTGCGGTGAACAGGCAGTTCTAAAAAGTTTTCGAAAAATATACAGGGAAATTTAAAAGAAAATGCACGATTTTCCATATCTTTTTTTTGCGAAAAAAACCTCCTAGACGTGTTCGGGGGTCGAAATATAACACCGCTGAAAATATTTGCACTTATTTAAGAGTCACCCTGTATAATGTCTATACCTGTCTCTATGAACATAATTACAGTTTAATTCTAATTGAAAGTACTCTTAGATCATATAAACTTCGTGGATAAGTAAATTCGCTTAATTTTTGTTGATATATCGACTATCTGATTATCTTTGTCTTTGACACTGATTGACCAATCGTCGGTCTTTGTTTTGTGTATATGTCATTTTTATGTCCTAAAATAGAAAAATATAAATATATAAATTAGAGAAAATAATATTGTTATTTGGATATTAATTATTTATTAGATAATATTTACTAGTATATTAACTATTTTACGTAAAAAAAAATCAAAGGTAAATTACCTAATAAATGTTTAAAGTGATTAAGTTACCTAACATAAATATGTATTATACTGAATAAAAATCGGTTTAAGAAATTATTTTATATAATATACATATATCTTGTTTTTTAAAAATATTTACATACTTCAGAGGTTTTCATGCTTTTACAGTGTTGTGGAGTTATACATAGATTTTTCCTATTGCGGACAAGCTTCACATATAACACTTTTATTAGTCATAATGTCTATTTATCCACTAACTTTATCGCACTACAAAAACAATAAACTATCAAAAAGAACACAAATCTAAAATATCGTCGGAAATCCAAATGAACTCTTTATTATCACGAGTCAAACAGTATACAAAAAGCACAAAATGTGACATTAATTAAATAATTTTTTATTAAAATATGTTTTGCAATGTCAAAACATATTTTAGCATTTCCCTGGTTACTGATTTCTATGTGTTGCCCATTCATCATAGCTATTTTTCAAAGTAGTATTTTAAAACATTTTTAAAAAAGAATTTATCGTTATATAATTTAATTTTTGTTTAAAATTTATATAAAAAGTATATTGAATATAATATGACAAATATTTTCAGAATAATAAATACACGCATCAATTATATCTTGATTAGAAAATTTTAGTGGTCTATATTTTTAGTAATTGTTGTCAACGCAGCGAAAAAAACGCTCCAGGTTAGCATTTACATCTAATATTCTTCTGCACATGCTCAGTAGCGTATTCAGAGAGAAGGATAGGCCTATACAATAATCTTGTTCTAGAAATAAATAAATAGAAAAATGCATGTGAAAGTCCCGTAAACAAAGTTGTGTCTAATATGCATATGGCATAGCTTTATCCACGAAATTTATAAGATCTAAGAAAATACTAAATGATACAGAGTTTGACAGACGGTATCCAAAAAATGACATAAAATTCAATTAAAGCCTAGTATTCAGGACAGCTGCCTCTACATAAAATTAACCAAAAACTTCATATAAAATATTTGAATGTATGCATTCAAATATTTTATAGGTTAAATTCAAACTTTTAAAAAACAACGGCATAATTTATGCTATTCTACCTAACCATCGACAATAGAATAAATTTAATATCATATCCCTAAAGAAACACACTAAAATTAGAACAGCGGTTCCCGATAGACCTGGAAACTCTGTCGTGTTGTACTTCCATGCCAAGAGTGTAAAATCTATTGACACACACTGCTCATTCCGCGTTGGTTTGAAGTCGAATGAGACTGATCTCATGACATATCTGAATATCTAGTGAGAAAGAGTCGATTTAGACACTCGCCAAGTCGGTAGACCATTGACCGAAGACCACGGGTCGGATTCCGCGAAAAACATAGTATGCCCCAGATTAGTCTTAGAACCAAAAAAAGAGATATTAAACAGCACTTTGAAGTTTTGAAACTATTGAAAATCTGTGACGTAATTTTTTGCAGAAAACGTCCGGAATTTCAATGCATGAAAACTAGGTTGTACAACTTTATTTGTGAAGCAAAATGACAGGTCAACTGTCACTATCAAGTATCCTCTGGTTGGACAGATTTAAATTCACTGGTACTCCAGATAAAGTAGATACATTTTATATGTTATAGGGATGTATATTTATGTGTAAGCAATTATTATTGTAAGTTGGAATACTGTTGATTCCAAGTTGAGATGTTATGTGTCAAATTTTACTGTACGTGAAAAATGTGTTTTTGACTCTAAAGAATATCCTGTATGTAGTAATATCGTGTTTATTTCTTATGTAGTTCCTGGTTTAATAAAATGCATCGATATTTGTTTATACTAGAAAATTTGGATTTATTTTTTATATCTACTTTTAACTGTATATTTTGCTACTGTCAAGTAATATTAAGTTAAGAAATTCGTATTGTACTGATGAAGGCTATTTTCTAGATTAGATAAATATGTATCTTTTGTGCTACCTAATATAGTAATATAATTAGTTAAAATATTTATAATAATAATTACAATGATTTTTTATATAGTTTGCCAATAATTATTCAATAAATATTTCTGTAAAAATAAACCAGTGTTTTATTTTTTAGTAATTTTTATTCAAAAATGTATACCGTGCTGGCAACTCTTACTATTGGGTCGGTATTTACATGTGTGAAAGTAAATCGCATAAGGATCTTATAAGTCGGAGTGAGAGAAATGCGACGGTGTGCTATTGCGGCGTTGCCACAGTTCCCCGGTACGCCTTTCCCTATCAAGTAAAGTAAAATCACGATCGCAAACCGCTTATTTTTAAAATACATTTTTTAGATAAATATTGAAACTTTTTTTTTATTTTGAAGTTCGGATCTTTTACAAGATGTTTAAATAAGAAAAGTTCGATAGGCTTGGGTTTCTTCCATTCAAACATTTTTAAAAACCCATCCATTTACTTTTAGGAGATAACGAATTCTTAAAATTTTGGTACGTGACAACATGAGGTTTATTCGTCTCCCAATAGCGGTCACCTCTCGAAACGGTAAAATTATAATAAAGTTTTTGCTGACCGTTATTAAGAAGTTTTACTATACAGGGTGGCGCCTCTCATACGCCGCAGAAGCTCCAAGGAGAACGGTAGTTTACATCGAAATATAATTTTGGCAGCGTATGTAGGTTAACTCAGAGCATTTTATAAAAATATATAAAATTATACAGGGTGTCCCCAAAAAAAGTTACACATCATAGTTGGTTTTTTTCTAATGGAACACCCTATATATTAATTGATTTTCGGATTCTAGGAAAAAAATAAATGTGAGTTTTATTAAAGAAACATATACCTAAAATATAAGGATTTTGACATATATTTCACATTTTGTGAAAATGAAGAGTAAATTTTAAATTTCGATAACAGCTACCTAAATTTTAGTTGACCTTGTATAGCCTAATATTTAATTACAGTAACCACTGCATGTTAAACCAAATTAAAATTTGACCCGAAAATTTATACAAAGTGAGACAAAATTAATATGGAACATTAGTCACTTTTAAAAGCAAGTTACTCCTTTATTTTAAATGGAACACCCAGTATATTTTTCCAGTATTCAACGGGGAATTTATATATCTTCAAAATGTTATTAAGGTTGCCTACCCCTCAGACAAAGATTTTCCTAGATTTTTTAATTTTTATTTTTTTGCGTCAGTAGATCTTTATTATTTGAAAAAATCTAGGTGGCTGTGTAAATTTAACAAAAATTAAAGATTTTAGAGTAAAATACTCAACGGTAATAAAAAAAGATACACATAAAACATATTTTAATTATTAAAACGTTTAAAACATATTTTAATTATTACAAAATTAAAACTAGATATAAACCTATAATTATGTCAAAAAATTAGCTAGATGAAATCAAATGCTCAAAATGCTCCTTTCCTGTTAACTGCATAAAACGATTATCTTTTCAAAAGGATGTTTTCATTTTAAAAGGCATATTTGGAGTCCTACCTCGAAAAGCAGCTACAGATTTCTCTCATGTTGTGACAATAGTTGGTCGAGTTTTGTAAACACTGTCTTCAACATATCCTTATAAAAAGAGCATTTAAGTATTCTATTAATTGGTGAATAACCATATAACCAACTAATAGGATCATATAAATTCTTTCTGATGTAGGATAAGTTTGCGTTTTCGGCAAATTTGTGAGAATTTTTTTTGTTTTAACTGATACAAAATGATAACTATAGTTGTTAAAGTTGGACTAATTAGACAGCTATATTGAAGTAACGCCAACCATATCACAGCCACCTAGATTTTATCAAATAATAAAGATCTACTCAATACACTTAAATGAAAATATCTTTGTTTGAGGGGTAGGCAACCTTAATAGTATTTTGAAGAGACATGAATTCTCCATTGCATATTGGAATAATATACTGGGTGTTCCATTTAAAATAAAAGAGTAATATGCTTTTAAAGGTGACCAAAGTTCAATATTAATTTTGTCTCACCCTGTATAAATTTTTGGATCAAGTTTTAGTTTGATTTAAAGTACAATAGTTAATTTAACTACTTATTAGACTATACCAGGTAAATTCCAATTTACGTAGATTTTATTGTAATTTAAAAAATGTTCTTGATTTCTAGAAAATGTTAATATGTCAAAAACCTTACATTTTAGTCATATACTTCTCTTATAAAACTCGCCTTTATTTTTCTTCTAGAATCCAAAAATCAATTAATATACAGGGTGTCCCAGAAATAAGTGCAAATATTTTAACTGGTAGCATAGTTCAACCCCAGAAACACGCCTATGAGGTTTTTTTTGCGAAAAAAAATGTTGAAAATTTAAAATTTTTCTTGACATTTTCCGGGAAATTTGAAAAAAACTTTTTAGTGCCACTTGTTTGTTCACCTGAGATTTCCCTACGGTGTATCTAAACCTTGCAGTGTTGCAACCTCCTATCTTATCCACATTCTTCATAGTTCGGCGGAACATAGTTCTACATTTATAAATTCATAGACAAATTTCTACTCAAAAAATTAGGAATGTTAAATTTAATCTTTTATCAGTGCTCATTAATAATTATAGAAAAAAAAACACATTAATTATTTTTAGTACCTACCCTTTCAATGAAAACTTAACAAAAACCACCGAAAATTAACTAAAACGTTACGTTTATGACGTTTACGAAAATCTTTGTTATGCTGCAAAATAACTTTATTTTGGAATAAATTTAATAAAATGATTCATATTATTCACAATCAGGTCACAAAAAGAAATTCCTAAAATGTTTATCGTAATTTAGAATTCAATTCAAGAAATTTAGAAAACAGCCCAACGAATAATCGATTCATTTTTGTTTTGTTTGTTTTCTTTCATGTTTCTCTGTTTTATTTGAACCACTGTTTTACAAAACACCTTGAAAAGCGCACATTACTTTGAATACCTTTCTGAATGAATAAATGTTGAGAATTATTGTCTCTTACCGTCACTTTCCGAACTACTTTCAATCTAAGAAAATACGTGTTTCACTCAACAATTTTAAATACGTATTTTGTTTTTTCGCTATTTTTTCTATGTATTTCAACAATTCCATCGACAGCCCAACCGTCGCGTCGGCCGTCGGCCAAGAGAGCGGCGCATCACTGGTAACTGCACCTTTGTCGCGCCGCCGTGTCGAGCTTGCGTCATGCGAGGTTGCCGTAGTTTCAACAATTTCAAATTCAAGACACTCGAAGCAATCAAATTCTTATTAAATTTTAAAAATAAAACAGAAAAACATGAAAGGAAACAAACAAAACACAAATGAATTGGTTATTGATAAGGTCACAAAAAAAAATTTCTAAAATGTTTATCGTAATTCAGAATTCAATACATCGAAAACAGCCCGACGAATAATCAATTCATTTTTGTTTTGTTTATTTCCTTTCATGTTTCTCTGTTTTATTTTTAAAATTTAATACGAATTTGATTGCTTCGAATGTCTTGAATTTGAAATTGTTGTAACTACGGCAACGTTGCTTAACATCGTCGTCTGACGCAAGCCCGCCACGACGGCGCGGCGACCGGCGACTCAAAGGACCAGTTCACACGCGGCAGTTCTTGTTCTGGGCTGACGGTTAGGCTGTCGATGAAATTGTCGAAATACATCGAAAAAATAGCGAAAAAACAAAATACGTTGTCAATAATTGTTGAGTGAAACATGTATTTTCTTAGATTGAAAATAGTTCGTAAAGTGGCGATAAGAGACAATAATTCTCAACATTTATTCATTCAGAAAGGTATTCAAAGTAATGTGTGCTTTTCAAGGTGTTTTGTAAATCAGTGGTTCAAATTGTGATGAGGCCTATATGAAAATAATGTGTTAAAAATGGGGACTGTTATATGTTATATAATGTGTTGAAAAATGGGGTAATTGGATGTAGTTGGCGATATCTGCCGGCGGTTCTCAAAATGTTGCGATTATTTTTTTAAATTTTCAAAGTTAAATAACTCGGTTATTTTCAATTTATTTTAAAAATGGTAAAGAGAAAATATGTTCATTTTGACCAGATCTACCACCCCTTAAAATATCTGCACTCATTTCTGGGACACCCTGTATAGGGTGTTTCATTACAAAAAACACAACTTTGTAACTTTTTTTGGAGACACCCTGTAGAACTTTCTATATTTTTAAAAAGTGCTCTGAATTAACCTACACATGCTCACAAAATTTCATTTCAATACAAACTGTCGTTCTTCTTGGAGCCTCCGCGGCGTATGAGAGGCGCCACCCCGTATAAGAAAAATAAAAATAATTTTTAAGTACCGAATATCTATAATGTGTTTCACAAAAGCATTACAAACACCTGGAATAGTCAATAAAAATAAATACCATTCAACAATTGAAACAGTAAAAATTAAAACATCCAACATTACTCAGATAACAGTTTAAAATAATTAACGTTTATACATGTAGGTATTAATAGGTATTCCTTAATACACATTCAACGATATGAAAAGTATCAAGATTAACTGACAAATACCACCCTAGAATGACAAAAGATATTGATATGTTAGCAGGTAGTAGTTACACCTCTTTTAAATCTTATATTTAGTACATATTATTTGATTACAACGACTAAAATATGAAAATAATCATGTATACCGGGTGTGTCTCGTATGTAAAAATGCATATTATAATATACATAAAAAATAGAAGCCTTCGCTTGGCACTTGTAACTTTTGTTAGGACATGCAGCATGATATTTATTACGTTTCTAATGCAATAAGTTAATATTGAAAAAATTGGCACTTAACCCCTTTGGTATTTCCACTCTTCATTTAGTTTTCTCGATTATAAAATGTCCATCCCACAATATTAAATTATGATAATAATATACATTTTCCTTTACAATACCCATATCTCTTATCATTCAGGCAGGTATAAAAATCTATACTTAAATGTAAATGCAAAATAATACTTTTTTTCTTCTCGCAAAAGAAAAACGAATACGTAACGATTAAAACTTTTCGAACTGATCTTCGAATAAGTTGGTCTTGCTGATTTTCAGTTCGGACTCGGGGAAGTCATCGAAATTTGACGTGTCGGCGGCCGACTTGATTTTCGGCTTGAAAGGTGGATCGATCTGTCTGTTGAATATCCCTTCGAAGTTTATGTGATGAAACCAGCGATGTCCTTTGATATCGGCAGTTCCGTTCCTCAGATTTCCGTACCTAAACCAACATATTTATTAAAAATAAAATATTATGAATATATTCAAAAATTATAGATAATGTTTCATTTGAAAGAAAACTGTTACAGCGAATTTCCATTCTCTTCATTTTCTGATTCACATAAAACTATGACGTTTCAGATAGTTATATTAATCCGTTATCAAGTATCGATTATTGTTGCTATAAGTGGCGGCTTAACCATAAGGTCAAATGGAGTCAATGCCCCGCCCCCCAAAAAAAATCAGAAGAAAATTAGCTAATTAAGCTAAATTAGCTTAAAAAACCTATTTAAATTATACTTTTTGTAAATAACTTTTTTTCCTGCTAAGATATTCTAATCTATTCCCAAAAACCATCAATTTGTCCAATTTTCGCTTCAAAACGTTTTATTTTACCCATTTATTCTCTACTGCCGGTCAAAATTTCATTTTGTCCTTCGTTCCAGCTATGTTTTGCACGTACTAAACTCCAAATGCCGCGGCTCGTAACGCCAACAAGGTGAGGTATACTACGTATAAAAAATATAACGGGTTAAGGTGCGATAGATATAGTTTATATTGGCCATTGACCGCGTCATTCATAAAAGGATTTCAGTCGCTGGAAAAATTTCGCCGTTTAGGCAGTTTGGGTGTTTATAAAAACTCAAATTATAAAACAACCTAGGTTTTTGTATCATTTATCGCGTATAATGTTTGGTTTAGTCAATACAAAGCAATATTTAAATTTTTAATATCGAAAGAAAAGAAACCCCATCTAGTTTGGTTTGGTTGTGCGGAATTTCGAAAAACGTTTAGAGAAAGAACGCCGCATTGATTTAAAATATAAAAAATGTGAAATAAAACTTTTAGAATTGTGTATATATGCCCAAGTAGCATTTGGAGGTTATCTAACGTCGGGTATATGTCGCGTTCAATAAACCCGACGTCGGGTACCAACGTCGGTTCGGCCGCCTGACGACCCGTATTTGCACCTAAATGGGGAATACAGATTCGGGTCGCCTCGACGTCGGTATCTGACCTAATAGGGAATGTAATTCTACCAATTACCCAATTACCAACGTCATATTACGTTGGATTTTAGTTACTTAAAATTCGTCGCTAAGCACTTACGTTACTTTTGGTTTCATATTCGCTACCAAGAATACATAAAAACCTAACCAAACTACCTAATTACAAATGGATTCATAATAACTCCTCGAATATAACTATAAGTGCCTACCTAATTTCATATTATTATAATTCTGAATCATTAATCCAGACATCAGTTTTGTCAACGGAAGTCACTTTTTTGATATATCTGATTAAAATACTCCGGAAAACAACGAGCGCCTTTAAAATTAGGTAGATTTATGAAATAAAAACATCTATAAAAAAGTAACTCGCAAAATATTTTTTTTTTATTTTCTAGCTGGTTTAATCATAAAATTGTACTGTGGTTCCCCCCAAAATCAACCTTATCAATATTATTCTACTAGAAATCGGAATGTGAATATAAATTTTAAAAACAAAAAACGATTTTAAAATGGCTGACAATCGGATACTTGTTAAGAATGGCGGTTTTCTTTGTCCGACTTAATATGAACTACCAATATACCAATTCCGACCTGGTCTCCAACATAAGTCGTCTTACACGACCGAAGTCATCAAACCGGACGACCGGCAATCGTATTATGACGTATATAATTCCAACGTACGCCACGTAACCTCACTTTGCGTATCAGTGATTTGTGGATTTGTGCAACTATAATTTAGTTTTTGTTTTCTCCTTAAAAAATGGACAGCCACGTTTTTAAGATAGTATATATACAAAATTTAAAAGAATTGGAACCAGTACCTCACATGTGGGAGGGGGATGGAGTCTGCTGGTTTCCTAAGCTTAAAAATGAAATTAAGATGCACCAGTGTAATACAGCATCTCTTCCGGATAAAAAAACATTCGTGGGTGAAGGCAAGATATCACTACTATAGTAAACGCCACGAATGTTTGGGAGTGATTCATCGGTCGCTACCATGTGAACTAATCTGTTCAAGGTCACATAAAACTTAATTCCAGTTCCGTGTTGTTTCAAGTCATTTAATAATCAATATATAATCTGTTGTAATTTGTTGTTTTAATTGTCAAAGTCTTGTCAAAACATATATTTGGTTATAAATATCAAATGGAATGCCCCATTGGTCGTACTGCAAGCACACCAATGGACTGACGCACAAAAACGAATCAATCAAAGAAACGCGATATAGTATCGTCTTTGTCAATCACGCTAACATTTAAAATAAATAGGAGGAGCGCTGGCAGATGATTAGACCGGGCCTTTAAAAACCTACGTCTGCGGTAAAAATTTACGTTTTTAATGTAAAAATGATAGCGCGCGTGTCGATTCTAACTTCATCAAGCAATGAATCACTCCCAAACATTCGTGGCGTTTACTATACTATTATTATTTTGCAAAAGCCTCGACCTCTTTCTGTAAAATGTAGATGAATGTCTAAATGCTTTTTTAGTGTTTTTTGGGCATAATAAAAAAATTAAGTTTGTTTACAAAAACTTTTTATTAGGTTATGTTCATGATGTTCATTAGGCCGCAAATGCTACTTAATGGGTTGTATTTACGGACGTAAATAGAGATACGTAAATTAGGTTGTAAATATGAACATAAAATACAACAAAATATAATTGGACGTTACTTTAGGGATGTGAGACGTATCCTATTCGGACAACGGGTAGACGTCGGGCTAGTTCAAGTATATGTACGTCGTGCAAGCCAACGTGGGAACGACGTTGGGAAATTAATAAAAATGGTACGTTGTTATTTGGTACGTCGACAGATCGTTGGATTTACCGACTCGGATCCAACGACGTCGCTTTTAATAGGAAAGCGACGTCACCGGTCGTATCACCAGCACCCGACCTAAATTTGCACAAAGTCTGACGTCGCTTCAGGTCAGATTTAGTTCGAAGTCAGATAGATGCTACTTGGGTGCATTTATATTTTTTGTGACATTATTATTTATGTGTATTTTAAATCTGAGCGTGGAAAATTTGTGTAAAGAACATTGACTGGATTTTTAGTGAAATGGCACTAGACCACCTGTTTAAAATGTAAGGGTAGGTTTCATTTTAACAGAATTTATATTTATTTTTAGATTTATTTTCCTTTAACTAAACGTACAAGTACCTTGTAAGAAACTAATTAAAATTGGGCGCGTCCGAGGGCGCGTCTTAAATGGATTGTCATTCCCCAGCCGTCTTTGACGCCGGTTTTTTTTTCGATCGTTTGGCATTACTTAAAGAATAATTATACATTAAAAAATAAGTTAATATTTACCTCCGTGTTAAATCATTCTGTAGTAGATTTCTTATCAAATCGCTTAACTCTAATGTGAAGAAGGCAGGACATTTGTATTTACATGCGATTATCTTCTCATATACCTGAAAATATCAGTTAATTAATATACAGAGTTAAACGAAGATACAAATAGGTATAAGGTATCTCCAATTTTAACGATTGAAAATTTCAATATCTAATGAGTCATTTTCAGCTGAATAAAATAAATAATTAATAATTACTCTTATTGTGTATACCTGAAAATATCATTTAATTAATATACAGAGTTAAACGAAGATACAATATAGGTATAAGGTATCTCCAATTTTAACCATAGAAAATTTCAATATCTAATAAGTAATTTTCAGCTGAATAAAATAAATAATTAATAATTACTCTTATTGTTATGCTGATATATTCGGATAATAAATCTGAAATACATAATATGTTAGTTCACGATTGTCGTTTATTAATTTATGGACATTTGAGACATGCATAAAGTTAAGCTCGTATTTCATTTTATATGTTATGCTAATTTATACGGCTAATAAGAGAATATCCAACATGTCCATAAAATACAAATTCAATTGTAAATTGGTAAAAAAATTGATCTCTGCTTATTATATGTTCTCTCCACGATATCGACAGAGATATCGCAACCAAAAAATACAGAATCAGTAGATATATTTTAGTCTACTTTTAAAATGACAGATTAAAACTATATCTGTTTTATATTATTTCATTGGATAGATATATGGGTATTATGTTATACAGGGTGGTCCGAACTATATTCCGGAAATTTCGGCAGCATATTCTTCAGATAAAAATAAGTAAAAAAGTATAAATGCATGTCCTAAAATGCTTAGTTTCGGAGATACAGGGTGTAGTAGTTTCATTTTTATTTAATTTTTTTCCAAATAATTTTTGAAATAACGTCAATATTTGGATGAAAATTGGTATCTGGGTTTTTTTGACATGAAAAATTTGAATTTGATGTCAATATGACTCCTATTTGTAGGAGGCGCCACCTACATGTGTTTTAACCTTTGAATAAGAAGACTAAGGAAGGAGCATATCAAAAATCTTAGGTACACCGCGATGGGCCTCAAATATGGCCGACTTAAATTCCGGCTTATCAGTGTCGTTCTAATTTTATTTAAAAAATGTAAAACTATGATGTAGGGTAGACGTGGGGTAGACTCAATAATTTGTTGTTTTATGTTACGTTGTGAATAAATGTTGGTAGTTATTAAAATTGTTATAAAAATATATAATTCTAATAAAAATAGATAAGTTATAATAAGTATTTATTAACACAAACATCCGATACGCTACTGAAGCAGGTAAGTCAAATTAACGTATCTAAATTCTTTGGCATCTAATCTTTGACAAGTAATAAATAAAAGCTAAAATGCAAGAAAAATGTATAATTTAGTTAATTTAAGTGAATTTCATAAATGAGCGGTTTACTACACGTATGTATATCATAGAGTCACTTACTAGTGAAAAGTTGTTCCATTATTTCACTCAATTTTTGCCGAGATCTACCGCACGCTACACAACCAACTATTTTAGAATCTTTTTGGATAAATCGCGATAGTGTCACTGTTAATTTAAGTTCTGCCACAATTTCCATCTAGATTTACTACCTTTATACAACTATCAGTAGTAGAATAAATAATAAATAACATAAAATAAGCTCCGTAAAGATTGACAAATCCACAAAATTTCAAATCAAATTCAAATGTGTCAAATGAATCGTCAAACAGAACTGTCAAGGATCCCCACCCTAGAGTGCTTTTATGGCGCTTTTTCCGCCCACATGCATGAATACATGGATAGCATTATGCTCCTTCCTTAGTCTTCTTATTCAAAGGTTTTAACTGATTTGAAGTGTAATAACTTTTCGTCCGTACCTGTATAAAACTACTAGGTGAAAAAATGTACAGGGTGGTCGAAATTGGTCTGTTTTAACAGAGTAAACATATTTTCTAACTAGATAGAGCAAAACCGACATAGATGTCATGGGCTCGATTTCTGAGACACATTTAATGGGGGATATTGCCCGTTGATATTTTCACTGACAACTGAGATACGGGGAATTTTTTACCATTTGGTTAGGTTGCCCATAACTTTAATATTTCGCGGAATAATAAAATTCTGCAAAAACGTTCTTAAGGCACTTTTTTAACCACAATCTAGTGACGTAGTCAGTTTTTTCTATGCTTTCTCTTTTTATCAGAAATAATGAAAAATATAATTTTTTAAATGGAAATCATAGTTGGCTATGAACTTAAAAAAATGCTGGCGTTTAACCCTATCCAACGATATAAAGTTATGTGTATTTATTTCTAAGAATATAAGAAATATTAGGTTTTTTATCTTTGTATCGAAGCGGGCCTTGATTTTGTGTTGACCTAGTTGCCTAATTATTTTTTATCACAATTTAATATTCTATATTTTTATTTATCTGCATAATTAAAGACTTTTGAAAAGGTAAATCAACATTCTATATTAGTATTACCAATTATAATTAAAGCTTCAGGGTTACAACTGAACTATTATGGACAATTTAGAGAGAATTGGATTGGAAAGACTGCTAGGTCCTGTGATTTAATCCCTTTCGACTTTTTTACGGGGGAAATTAAAAGACCTTATATATAAGGGAAGAACCATTGGGACGAGAGAAGAATTGCAGAAGGATACTAGGCGAGCTTTTGGACTTAGTTCCAGTTTGGACTTACACCAGTTCGCCTAATAAATCGCTGTAACTCTCTGCGCAAAAAATGTTTATTGTGTATTCAACAAGGAGGTGCTGTTTGAACATCTTTGGTGTTTTTTTTCGAAAACTATATTCGTGACTCAAAAAATACGTTTTTTTTTGTTTTGTTCTTTGTTTATTGTATCGATTTCAATTGTAATTACTAATACTAATATAGAATGTTAATTTACCTTTTCAAAAGTCTTTAATTATGCAGATAAATAATAATATAGAATATAAATTGTGATAAAAAATAACTAGGCAAATAGGTCAAGACAAAATCAAGGCCCGCTTTGATATAAAGATAAAAAACCTAATATTTCTCTCATTCTTAGAAATAGATACTCATAACTTTATACCGTTGGAAAGGGTTAAACGCCACCATTTTTTTAAGTTCATAGCCAACTATGATTTCCATTTAAAAAATTATATATTTTATTATTTCTGACAAAAAGAGCAAACATAGAAAAAACTAACTACGCCACTGGATTGTGCTTAAAAAAGCGTCTTAAGAACGTTTTTACAGAATTGTATTATTCCGCGAAATAAAAAAGTTATGGGCAATTTTCAAAATGGTAAAAAAATCAAAAAGACACTGTATCCCAGTTGGCAGTGAAAATATCAACAGGCTGTTTACGCCACTAACGTGTCTCAGAAATCGAGCCCATGATATCTATGTCGCTTTTGCTCTATCTAGTCAGGTAATAGGTTTTCTCTGTTAAAACAGACCAATTCCGACCACCCTGTATATTTCCGTGACATTTTACGTAAAAAATGTCCCTTGGTAAAAATCGCTACGAGCAACCGTTCTCAAGATATTTCGAATGGAAATAGTCAGTACATATCATTATTGACAAAAAAATAAACACGTTTAGTAGATGGTATTTGACTGAAATAATAAATTTGGAAAATTTTTATTCTTTTAAATTAATCATATTTTTTTCTACGAAATAATGGTGATAAAACAGTTTCTGTTGAACTTTTGACACAAAAACATTTCAAATTTATGATTTCAGTTTAATAACTGCTAGTCAACATGTTTAATTTATGTCAATGATGATAGGTCTTGATAATTTCAATTCCAAATATCTCGAGAACCATTCCTTGTAACGATTTTTACCAAGAGATCTATTTTACGTAAAAAATGACGTAAACTTATATTTTTTTACTCGCTAATTTTATACAGGTACGGACGAAAAGTTATTACTCTTCAAACCAGTTAAAAAATATGTAGGTGGCGCCCTCTATAAGTAGGAGTCCTATTGACATCAAAATAAAATTTCTCATCTCAAAAAACTCCTAGACACCAATTTTCATCCATATATTGACGTTACTTCAGAAATTATTTGGAAAAAATCGAAATAAAAGTGAAATTCTACACCCTGTATCTCCGAAACTAAGCATTTTAGAATATACATTTATACGAACTTTTTTACTTATTTTTATCTGCAGAATATGCTGCCGACGTTTCCGGAATACAGTTCGGACCACCCTGTATATAAAAAATTGCATATTACTTAGATATTTAAGGTAGTGATGGGATCACTCGAGTGAAAAATACTCGGTCATCCGAGTATTCATATCCTCGGTATGTCTCGTGTATTTTTGTCGATCCTCGAGGATTACTTGGCACGCAACTAACATCGGGTGTAGTGTACTGTCCTCGCTGCTCGCGACGATACAGTTGATTTTACGATTATGCTGAAACCTTTTATATACAGGGTGTCCCAGAAATAAGTGCAAATATTTTAAGGGGTGGTAGATCTCGATAAAAGAAACATATTTTCTCTTTATCGTTTTTCAAATAAGTCCAAAATAACGGAGTTATTTTGCTTTGAAAATTTTCAAAAAAAATATTTTTTGCTAAAATTTTGAGAACCACTGGATCTTTCCTGGATTTTCTTTCTTGTAAATTTAATCTAATACCTATGTTGCCATATTACCAAGAAATTATGTTTTTTAACTAAAAAAAATCGAATTTTCAAAAAAAATTTTTCGCGAAAAAAACCTCAGGCATGTTTCTGGGGTTGAACTATACTACCTATACTATTTCTGGGTCACCCTGTAGAGGATAGAGGATAACCGTTTAATCACTTGCTCGCATATCGCTCGCAATAACAGTCGGTTTTCAGTGTAGTAACCTGCATTTTTGAACACAAATACATTACTTATTTTTGTTTTGTTTTGTTTAGATGGGATATATTAATTATAATACTTATTTAAATTATAAAAAATTTTTCTCCATACTTTATATTTTAAGATTTATAGTTTTTTAACCATTGATATAATAATAAAATGTTGTTTTTTCTGTGTAATAATTCAGAATTGAAACATTTCAAAATTCATAATACGTCAGTTTTCGACTTTCAAAATTCCATTTGACAAAACCACAGTTGTTTATTTGGGTTAAGGCTTTGGAGATTTTGCTTTATTTGCATTTTTAATTTTCAATTTACGTGTTTTCTAGTAAAAAAACCTTTGCATGTAGTTGTACGTTGGGAGACTATATTCTGATGAAAGTATAATCGAAATTTAGTGTAATGGAACGTAGATATAAAGTGAATGATTTGCGGAATTTGCCAACAAGAACAATAACAATATTGCTGTATGTTTTATTTAATTTTTTTTCAAACAGTTTTTAAAGCGACAGCTGACTCGTTATAATATTTAAGCTCGGCCTTAAGTAAAATTTTATCAGTTAATATTTTTCTATTATGAGGGTTCACAAGAGAGAGAGAGGTTGAAAATCCGATACAATCATCATTAACAATTTTTTTTCGATTATTAGTTAAGCTGTGCCCAAACAATACAGTTGGTAAATTCAATTTTAAAACTGGATATTATGTCGCACAAAAACTTAAAATATGCACAATAACACAATACTACTACAATTTATTAGGTACTACAGTTTATTTTCGGTGAAAGTGCGCTATTAAAAAGTAAAACAAAATACAGGGTGGCGCACCTCATTCGCCTCGGTTGATTATACAAAAACGGAAAGAAGTAGAAACAAAATATTTTATGGGACATATGGGGAGGCAATGTGCCCAATTTAAAATTATTCTGAATTATACAGGGTGTTTCAGAACTAAGATTCATACCAAAGTTATATTTTTTCTTATGGAACACCCGGTATTATATTTTATTTTTGCATTCCTGGGCCCAAAAAAAGGCATTTATTATAAGGGTTAAATATGTTGAAATTCTTTGGTTTTTGAGATATTTAAAGATATTTAAATTTGCATGCTTCTATAGAATAGATTATTAACACCCGGTACATTCCTATTCAGAATTAATTATTGTGTTGAATTTAAAGGTAGAGAAATAAACTTTACTGGAAAATGTTATTGCTTCCTTAAATTTATATAGGGATATCAAAAATTGCTGATCTATTTTAAGGATTTATTTTACATAAAAACTTTGTTATTTCAAATACAACACCCTGTATTTTTTATAATAAATCGAAGCAGATTCAAATGCTCTTTCAAACTATATTAGGGTTTCCTATACCTATCTAGCTCAGATTTTGAATAAAGAGCAATTTTTCAATAAAATGGCAACCAAGAGGGCTAGTCTCGTCATGGCCAGTTTCTAGTGGCAGTTAGTAGCTATTTTCAAAATCGGAATTAGTTTATGGACTTATTTAAATTTATACCCGTTTACTTTTATTTGATTTACCTACAATAGTTTCATAAATAATATTTATTAAATATGTATTTATTAATCTATCGAGAAAAACGAAGAAGTAGTTCTTTGATTTATTTTACGATGACTTGTAGATATATGAACTTTCTATAAAAGGGACAATTACGGCAAATTAATTTTCTTTACTTCCAACAACAGATTTCTGCCTAACAGTTTTTTTATAAACCACACTACCAGCTCTACAAAATAGGACAAGTAATTTTTTAAAGGAACGCTTATCAGGACGATTCTTATTTTTGGATACCTTTAAGCATAAGTTCTTGAGGCCAAGAAGCGATTTTCCTCACAAAATAAAATCACTAGAGACATATCCATTCGTTCCGCCAGCAGATACTGCTTTATTTTTCTTGATAAAATAATGAATACTTACTTATTAAACTGTTGTAGGTAAATCTAAGTAACCTGTATAAATCATAAATAATAACGTCCATAAACTAGTGTCGACTTTAAAAATAGTTACTAAGTGTCACTAGAAAATTGCCATGGCGACACCAGCCATCTTGATTGCAATTTTATTTAAAAATCGCTTTTTATTTAAAATCTGAGCTAGATAGATATAGGAAACCCTAATATTATTTGAAAGAGCATTTGAATTTGCTTCGGTTTATTATAAAAAATACAGGGTGTTGCATTTGAAATAACGTTATAATAAGTTTTTATATAAAATAAATCTTTAAAATAGATCAGCAATTTTTGATACCCCTGTATAAATTTAAGGAAACAATGCCATTTTTCAGTAAAGTTTATTTCTTTACCCTTAAACTCAGCACAAGAATTGATTCTGAAAAGTAATGTACAGGGTGTTAATAATCTATTCTGTTGTAGCATGCAAATTTAAATATCTTTAAATATCTCAAAAACCAAAGATTTTAAACATATTTAACCCTCATAATAAACGCCTTTTTTTGGACCCAAGAATTCAAAAATGAAATAAAATACCAGGTGTTCCATAAGAAAAAATATAACTTTGGTATGGATCTTAGTTCTGACATACCCTGTATGTACATTTCAAAATAATTTTAAAATGTGCACATTGCCTCCCCACGTATACCCATAAAATATTTTCTTTCTACATCTTTCCGTTTTCATATAATCAACCGAGGCGAATGAGGTGCGCCACCCTGTATATTTTTTATCTCAATGACCGACCGCCGACAAATAAACAATAAATAACGAGCCCTTTTTAAAAAGCCATTATTTCCTAGAATTACTTGGTTTCATTTGGCCTGAAAGTGTGCTGAAAGGTTGCCAGATTCACCTAAAAGTCGGAGTTAAAGAAACAAAATCAGCACAATTTAAAGCAAAACCTATGAACATTTTATTTCCCACATGAAATTATACACGAACATATTAAAAATTATTAAAAAAGTGTTTAAAATAATTAGTACCTATTTATTTTTATTACAATATTATTTACGTCATTCAAGTACATGGCAACAGTGTGTTAAAAACAGCAAGCAAAATCACTCACACCCAGCGGCGATTCAGGTTTCGATCGAGATATTATACAGAGAAAATTTTATGACCGAGGAATCCTCGGATAATCATCCGATTATTGGAATCCTCGAGGATTGAATTCATCCGATTTTTCCCAACACTATATTTAAGTAATTTCGTCATTTAGCATCTACGTATATCAAACACATACCGACATAGCCATATAAGTTTAATAATTAAGGTACATTATACTATTATTTGTGAATAGTTCTCTAAGCACACAAAGATAATAGATGGATATTATTTATATAGTAGAGGAAGTGAAGGTATTTTGGAATAGTAGTTACAAAAAATTGCAACAAATTTAAATGTTGATTATTTTGAATAAAATAAATATCGTGCCTTAGATCTACATATGTTGTATGCGATACGAAAGTTTCAAGGTATTTAAAGTAATTTAAATGGATTTTTTCACTCATAAAAATAGATCAAAAAATCTCTGTCGACGTAACATGCAGGTAATTTGGAGTACCACCAAAAGAGCAGCAGATATGTTGTTTACATTAAAAAGGTAAATAAAAAATTATTAAAAAACTATCCAAATATTTATTAAAAGAGAAAATTAGGTAGAATATTTACAGTAGTCGCACACATATACGTTCCGGCATCATATCCGACACAGAGTGCACTCATGATTCGCATGTGAGGCACTGATCTCACTATTCTCCCCTTGTACCTTTCCTTCGCTGAAAAAAAAACATAATAGCTAAATTTGGGTTTTCCTTATTACCGATTCTGAACCGTCCTAGAACTGTGATACGCAAACGCAGAAGAAAATATGAAAAAAGTATTTCATTTGTGCATGCGCTGCAGATTTCTAGGACGGTTCAGAATGGGAAAAAAGAAGAACCCGAACAAAGCTACAGTCTCTTGTGGCTCTCTATTTGAATCAAATTCTGGAGCGAGTTCTGAGGAGGTCGAAATAATTCAGCTTGCATTAGATTCACTATTTGTCCTTGCTTTCTGATTTTTGCCCCTCTTACCCTACATATCTCCTACAATTAAGACTAGATTCTTAAACACCGGTCGTCTTCTATGTTAAAATCCATCAAGCAGGTTGAGCTACAGTGTGTACCAAAGAAATTTATATACATTATAGAATCGAAAAGCAGCAAGATGAACATTAATTTGGACTATTCCAAATTTGCATCAGTTATAGTATTCCAAATTACATGAAGACCTACGCCATGATCCGTAAAAAATATATATGCATTAACATATCGAAAAAATACATCTAACAAATTAAATTAATATAAACCAATACTTATCTGAAAACCCAATCAAAGTTAATTTAAATAAAAAATCGGGACAATGATTCCCGATTTAATTTCCACTAAAAAAGTTTTTATTGCGTCACAATTATTATTTGTCTACATATTTTTGCTCTGTACTATAAATTCAAGTAACTGCAAAATCTGTTGTCCACTAAATACAAGCCGAACTTACAACAAGTAGAACTTACTACTGTTTTTACCATATTTAAACAGACAGCGCCACGCATAGCTTCAATAAGTGAGTATTCCAAATTACCAACAGTATTCCGAATTACCCTCATTTCCTCTAGTAATTTTGTTACCTTCATAGGATCACTGGAAGTAAATGGTGGATAACCTGCTGACATTTCGAAAAGAAGTACTCCATAAGACCACCAGTCTATTGCTTTTCCATAGCCTTTGCTCAATATGATCTCTGGAGCTATGTATTCAGGAGTACCACAAAGTGTCCAAGTTCTACCTTTGACTATCTAGAAAATAATTTCAATTGCACATAACTATTATTCGTTATTTAAGTTGGTACATATTGTTTTGACTGTTGTCACAAATTGCTTATTTAGTTATTTCATATTTTGGACTAATAAAAATATATATTTTCTATTTTGTAAAAAGATTTAAAAGAATTTAGATATAGGCAATGTTAATTAGGATTATGCCTAATAGAGTACTAAGAGAAGATAAGTGAGTTATAAAGATATTACCTTGCAGAATCCCATATCAGCAATTTTCAAATATCCTTTAATATCGATTAATATATTTTCAGGTTTAAGATCTCTGTAGATCACATCACAGTAATGTAAAAATTCTAAAGCTAGCAAAACTTGAGCGGCGTAAAACTTAGCTAGACTTTCGTCAAACTTACGAGCTCTAAAATAAAAAATACTCATATAGCAAACCATTATTTACATTGCATTGCTATGGGTAGCTTAAAAGAGATATAGTTTTCATTACACAACCATGCAAAATTTTAAAATACACAAATATTTATGGCTCTATTTTTTATAATATTAAGAACGTGTATTTAAAAATATTATATATACTATACATGAACTTACCTCCGCAAATGTGTGAACATTTCTCCGCCATTAACGAAAGGCATGAGCAGATAAATATAGCTGTTGTCCTTAAAGCAAAATTCTAAAGAGATCAGAAAAGGAAATCTGGCTGATTCTAGAATTTTCTTTTCGTACAATGTATGCTCCACCTGTTTTAACTTCACTATCCTGATCTTATCTATTACTTTCATGGCGTAATAATTTTTGTTTTGCTTATGTTGCACCAAAAACTACAAACGGAGAAATTTAGCCCTTTCTGTGGTTTGCAGTATAACTTATCAGAAAGAATCATCAACAATAATTATGATAGTTGATAGATGAGTATTTCCGATGATATGGTCTAACAAATAATTGTTATAGGAGTTTTCAATTTATACAGGATGTCCCAGAAATAAGTGCAAGTATTTTAAGGGATGGGTATTTTAAGGGGTGGTAGATCTGGCCAAAAAGAAACATTTTCTCTTTGCCATTTTTAAAATAAGTTGATAATAACCGAGTTATTTAACTTTGAAATTTTAAAAAATAATGGTAACATTTTGAGAGTCGCCGGCAACAATCGATAATCAGTCGCAAATACCAAGCAATTACCAAAATATCTGCTTGTTCTATCTGATGCCCAGTGTTGACACATCGACTAGAATGATTTAAAAACGACTTGGAAAATTCAGATTAAAAGTAAAATCTTACTTAACATTAAAACATGCGACTTCTATAGGTAGCAGATCGATGAAATTAGGTTAGAGCGTCGTTTTATCACTTTACCTAAAATCGCAACTCTACACTTAACAGCACTTCGTTTCACTGCGATTCTTGACAGCACTACACTTACACACACGTGTATTTACCACAAAATAAGGCGTAACGGCGGGCCGCCACCGCCCGGACCCGCCTTTACGCATTTCCTGAACAATTTAAGTTGAAGGAAGACGAAGAGAACTGCCCAAAAACTCCTTTACATCGGTCGCCGATAATAAATTTCGGGGCGGGGGGATTTACATCTGCCGCTAGGCTGACGCCACGTTACCATGGAAACCGTGCAGCCGCTTGGCTCACAAATAGAAACATTTTCACTTCTAGCTTGTAGGCGCGAGCGGGCCTATAATGCTACTTTTTCGGCCGGAATTAACGATGCGGTGGACCTATTATGGAGAGGTCCGCCCGGAAAAAATAAATAATTTATAAAAAATTACCATTTTATTATAATGTATATGTAAATATATTAAACTAAATTAATATTTTAAGCAGTAAAGTTTTTTCTTTAATTTGAGTATATGTTTCGGTGAAGTGCCCCTTCACCTACTGCACCTGACGAGCCGCCACTGATCAATTTGCTATCTATAGCTATTTTGTTTTCTAATGTTAGGTAAGTTTTTACTTTTAATCTAAATTTTCCAAGTCGTTTTTAAATATTTCTGGTCGATATATTAACACTGCGTCGAACAAGCCAAGATCCAGGCAATTGCGATGTAATACATATGCGACTGATTATCGATTACTGGCAGCGGCTCTAAAAATGTTGCAATTATCTTTTTAAATTTTTAAAGTTAAATAACTCGGTCATTATCAATTTATTTTAAAAATTGTAAAGAGAAAATATGTTTCGTTTGGCCAGATCTACCACTCTTTAAAATGCTCAGCCTTTAAAATACTTGCACTTATTTCTGGGATACCCCGTATATATAATTATATATGCTGGAATAAACTAAATCCCTAGCAATATCGGGTAATTTTGATATTGTAGAGTTAAACTTGACAACATCGATTGTTTTTGCCCGTATTCATTTTGCTGTTTCAAATCCGTTTGTCAAATAATAGGTCATCTGTGTCTGAACTTACCACACGTCCAAAGGAACCAGTACCTAGCGTTTTAAACCTGTCAAAGTCTTTTAAACCTTCAGCTGACGATGGGGCGTTTTTCTCCCATCTCTCATAAAAATCCCTTCTTAACTTTTCTAAAATTTCACCATATCCGGTCCTTTGCCTCGACCTCTAAAAAGAAAATATTTCTTTTAATATTATTTTTCTGTGGGTACCATTAATCTTTAAATAAAACAACTACGAAAGTACTTAAATTCAAAACTTATTTTAATCCTACTTTCGCAACCTTATTTTTTTTCTTCATAATTAATTTTTATTTTATGCGCTTATCAAAAATAAATAACTGTAAAGGCAATATGAATAGAAATACTACAACTACTACTGGCATTACTCGCTGACGTGTATTTGGCACGCATCAGAAGATGGTTACGCAAGGCGTTTCCTTTCATGAGCTTTTCCATGACTGAAAAGCCCGATACGTGACGTTATCTCTCTTCCGCACCCGAAACTGGTTCCGAAACTAAAATAAACTTAACTAATATCGATTAGGTAGATCTGTCTTGAGAAAATATAAGAAATTAAATTAAACTGTTCACTATAAAGAGAGCACTGCCATAAATATGTTGAATAGAAGAGGCGCTAAGACACATACCTGCCTAACTTCTGTATTTCTTAGGAAGAGATCGCTCAGTGATCCATGATCCACACTGCTGACTTGTTGTTATAGAGGCTATTACCACAGTTTAAAGAATATAAATATATCAGTTGACCCACTCTTCGCCCGTATCAAAATTCCTCCCGCCGCTCCCCGCCTGTCTTGTAGACTTGGGCCAGTCTACATCTGTTGCTCGACGTGTACACAGCGTTCCAAGTTTATTTTAGTTTTGTTTTCGGTCCGACGCATAGGGTGAACCAAAAATAGTGTTTTAGTTGTTTTGTTCGAATTGTGAATAAAATGTCTTGTCATATTTATATTTTTTAAACTGTGCTATTACACACTGTAAGAAATTTGTTGAGTAGTCAGAACTTTTGCATAATTGCCCCAAAGTGCATTTCTATTTACAGAGTCGAAAGCTTTTTTTTCGTAGATATTCGCGGTTTTATATTTTATATGGCATTTTCCACAGTAACCGTTGAAAGAAATAATACTGCTTGTATCTGCGATACAAAAAATGTTCATTTTCAAATGCAGGTCCGTATTTAAAAAAATGAAGTTGGCCTCTGAATCTCACGAATTATCAGCTTATTTGAAAATCTAAAAATACTATCAGATAGCCCTAATAAATTGGCTATGAGAATGTGCAATTAGATTTTTGATTTTCTAAAAAGTAACGACAGGAAAAAACAAAATTGATTTAAATAAATCCGTTTTTTTTTTTCAAAAAACTCAGCAATCCTTGAAATTTTCAAAACTTTTTCGATGGCATCTTGGTGATCATCCCAAGACGCAACTTTGCCCCGATTTAACCATCTTCGTATCTATTACGGGTTCCGAGATAATAATGCTCGTACCTCGAATTTGTAGAACCCTGTATACAATATGCGAAATTTATATACAGGGTGTCCCAGAAATAAGTGCAAGTATTTTAAGGGGTGGTAGTGGTAGATCTCGATAAAAGAAACATATTTTCTTTTTATCGTTTTTGAAATAAGTCCAAAATAACGGAGTTATTTTACTTTGAAAATTTCCAAAACAAAAAGATTTTTTTGTTAAAGTTTTGAGAGCCACTGGATCTTTTCTGGATTTTCTTTCTTGTAAATTTAATCTAATACCTATGTTGCCATATTATCAAGAAATTATGTTTTTTACCTAAAAACTAAAAAAATTTCCAAAAATTTTTTCAAAAAATTTCGAATTCAAATTTTTTTTTTCGCGAAAAAACCTCATATGCGTGTTGAACGTGGGGTTGAACTATACTACCAGTTAAAATTCTTGCACTTATTTCTGGGACACCCTGTATAACCCGACCGAGTATCGTTTATGCGCATGCGGGTTTTAGTGCGGGTTGTAAAGTTGCACGATCCGGCTCATGTCCGGCTAACGCAAGAAAATACTCGTATGCCCTAATACAGTACTCAAAACAATTATCGCATATTTGAATAAAAATAAATATTACATGTTTCTAAATGAAACATGTATTTTTCTGCCTTTCTCTTGTGAGTTTTTTTTAGGATAATTAGGATACGCACTGGCATGTAATTTTTAATCGGCCGACTATTTAGTTGCATATTTGTAACCAATATATCCTTAAGCGCTTCTTTCAGATGGAGCGGAGCGTCCGCGATGGACCGTCCGTCGTGTTTTTTCAATATAGCCGTCGGACGGAGCATACGCGCCCATGTGAAATTGTTCATATAAACTCATGGTATTTGCTTGAAGTGGCGGACGCTCCGTCGCGGACGGTCCGCTCCATCTGAACGAGCTGTTATGGAGACGCGCTCTCATGCAATCAAATAGTCGGCCGATCGGCTCCATAAGTATGTATTGTTTTCACTTTTGCAACGAAATAGTCGGCCGACTAAAAATTACAGGTCAACGCGTAGGCTTATTGTTTCGTATTTCCTCTTTCACAGTATCCAAACTATTTAAAACTGTAAGTCAGGGAATTCAAAGTGTCTTGTTTTTCAAATTAATATTCTTTTTTAGAAAATATGCGATAATTGTTTTGAGTAGTTTGTTATTTAAAATGTATCTTACTGTCACCGCATTCGTCGACTTAATTATTTCTTTAGATTCATCTCTATGAGCATTCTGCGTTTCTGTCATAGCCATAACGTGTTATTTTGAATTCCAATCGATATTTCTATTAAAATTATTAGTTTCCTCCTAAAAACTAATTTTAACAACTTGTCAAGCGTATACCTGTATTAAACTGACATAGACATGTTCTGTTACGTTGACATAAAATTTACCAAATTTTAACAAAGTATTTTTGTGAACGAAAATCTGAAGAAAACATGGCGTCGCACATAGAAAATAAAGCCATTCAGCTAAGACAGGAGGCGGCGAAGAAATTGAATCCTTCTGGATTCTTCAAGACCTTGTTTGGAAACGGCAATAAGGTGAGATTAGTCATAAGGTTATACATAATTTATTTTTGTAAATAATTTCACTACAATTTTATATTATTATTTTTTTAAATTTGTTTACCTATTACAGTCACTGTATTTTCATTATTTTCTATCAATACTGTTTCGGATTCCCATGGTCCTTAAATTAAATACAGGATAAAAACACCTAAACTAATTAATTACACCACCAAAACTACAATTCACTGCTTAATTATAATGTATGACATAGAAATTTCAACGCCCAGTAAATGTAAATATATTTGTTTAATATTTCGGGAAATGGATGAATTTTTCAAACATATTTATTGAAAGAAATCCTTAACAATTCAATATTGAGTTACATCTCCACGTAAGTTTTGACATCATGTAACTCTTCGTGGCATGCTGCGAATCAGATGATCGATTATCTCCTGTGGTAGGTTCTCTCAGGCTAATGTTACCTTATGACATAGACGTTGTACACCCATTATAAGATGCGGCAACCGACTCAGCCTTCTACCTATCACATCCCAGACCTGTTCAATAGGCGGTAAGTCTAGTGACAATGAGCGGAAGAAGTTACATTAACTTGTCGGAGGAAGTTTCTAGTAACTGCAGCGGTATGTGGTCTGGCATTGTCTTGTTGGAAAATTGGATCTTGCAGTTGCTCAAGGTTTCTATCATGTTTCTGTCCAAAAACTAGAGGTGACCTGCTTCCAACTTACTTTACTTTTTCGTATCCGGATTATAGTTTATTAGCCACGTCCAATGCTTCCCGTTTAGCCAGCCACAGGTTGTCGAGGGTACATCTGTGGGGGCAGGCAGGACATTGAAGAAGATGGTCCATGTCCAGGAAGGCGCCGCAGTCGCATTTGTCGTCATTTCTGTCCAGCAAACCCCATTTGATCAGATTGGGTTTTACTGGGGCTACCCCTGTTCTGATACGGTTGAGCATTCTCCAGGTTTTCCAGTCGCTATAAATGCCATTTGGTGGGTCCTCTCTAAGTGAGTAGTTCATCCAGGGCGTGGCTTAGGAAACGGCGTCTGGATTTAAGTCTACTTGGGCCGCACTCTTAGCCAAAAATTGATTGACGAACATCGAAGGTTTTTTTTAGCTTCTCAGTATGTTCATGAGCTTTTCTGCTTCCAACTGATAAGCGCAGTCTCACGCTCCATGCACAAAAAAATTTGAGGCGCCTTTTTTTCGACCTCTGGTTCGCCTTAAAGCCCTACTGCCGCTACGACGTGTACGGCGATGATGTACAAACTACTCTGTCCAGTATGACATCACTGTAGCAGCATTCCGACCAATTCTGTTTCCAATTTCCCGAAAGGACATCCCAATGTCTCGTAGGGGTATACTATCCAGTCTCTGCTAATGCCTACTATCCTAACCTCATTCAAATTTACTTAATTGACAATACACGGCACGTTTTCTTATATGGGAAGCATTGCTAAACGATGTTTGCAAAATCCCAAAGGCCATAAAACTGAACATCCTCGAAATAAATCTTAAAAAAATATAATAAAATAAAACTTGTTTTTTTTAGCCGACCATACCAATAGGGATGGTAGGCTATTAAGATAGGCAAAAAAAAAAGTTTTTTTAATTTCACTCAAAATGAGTTATTTTGGTCCTAAATACAAAATATTTTCATGGTGTCTGTCTGTCTGTCTGTCCGTCTGCCGTCTGTAACACGATAACTCAAAAACCGCTGAAACGATTTTAACTAAACTTGGCACAAAAATACTGTGGCACCCGTGAATCTAGCCATTAGTTTTTGGTGGCGGTGGGGGGTTGGTAAGGGGGTATGGGAGGGGGTTAAAAATTTTAAAAAATCGTAACTCCAAAATTACAGTAGCTAGCGAAACGCGGTTTTCAAATTAAGATTAGGAATAATATTTGCAACAATATTTGTAATAACATCAAAATCAGTCAAAGTCGCAGTTTTCGAGATATTAACATATTTTAGTATGGGCGGCTATACGTGCCTCCCGGCGCCAATTTTTTAAATTTAAATAACGTCTGTTTATTTGTTATTATCGTTGACTACACTTCATGCAGGAGTCAACCGACAAAACATTATAAATATGATAAATGATGATCCGATTTTCCGCACTTTTATTCTAATAACACTATAAAACATTATTATATCGAAATTATTGTGTGTGGCCCGGCTTAACAACAATGGAGGTAAGATTGATGATGAACTTGGCTTCTTTAGATGCGGATACTATTCGACACTACCTTTCTTCATAGTATATCAAAGACTCTAGTAAAGCTCTCAACATTTCTATTGTGTATTGTGGTTACATTCTCTATTTAGCCCAAATTAAGCAACTGTGAATCAAACATAAATTTTCTATATTACAAAAAAAAACACTATTGAAATATCTTTTTTTAGTAAAATTTTAATAGATTTCATCTATTTTTTATAAATTATTTTTAAATACATATGCAAACCAATTTTTTTATGAACAACACAACTAAATGTACCGTATGATAAAAAAAAAACGGCGTCAGCGATGGCTATGAAATGAAGATCGCTGTCATTTTAATGTAAAATTATATGAGGAATGTCATTAATCGTCATTTCCAAGCCAACTGGACGCCTTTTCTGGATCATACGGTATAAACCTATAATGGAAAGTTTTTTGCTTCAGATACGAATGATTACTAAAACAAATTGTTTTTCAGTGAATATTAAACAATGCCCAAATTATACTATTTCTGGTACACAATAATTAAGTTGTTTATAGATACTTAAAAAGCAATTAGAACTTTTAGTTTACTTACAAGTTTTTTTATAAAAAATATGTACTAAAATCTCTCCAATTTGTTGATGATCCAAACTGTTAAAATTACATCATATAAAGTCAGACTTCAAATTAACAATTAGTTAATGTTACTACCTGATGACAATCAATATCAGTTTATAATAGACGAATCTGCTAAAAAATTAAAGTTCTTGAATGGTTGTATTTAGGCATTTTAAATAGTTTTTCTTTTTGTTTTTTAGCTTCTGGCGACAGGAAGAGATGTACCTTCTGAAACGTTAAGCATTTTTGTAGGTTAGGCAAGTTTGTGTTACCAGTGTTGCCAGTTTGTTACAATTGTAACATTTTTGTTACATTTTACCCATACTTGTTACATTGTGACATTAACGACTTAAATTGTTACATTTTACTATTTTTCAAGCTAATCAGCTTATTTTATTACTTCCACATCCCTTTAGAATGGGAAGTATAGTATCGGCAAAAAAAAGTCAAAAATCTTTTTTCCCTAATTTTTTTCAAAAATATTTCAGACTAAAAGCACGGCATATAAATCACACGGCAGGCCAACTCGCTTTGGCGGGAACGCTACGCGCATACCCTTGCGCACGCCGCCATTATGGGTGCCAGCAACAGAAATTAACCAGTGTCGTAGTCAGTCGTACTCTTTGTCATCGAGAACATACAGTTACGGCGGCTTTGAGTCAGTAGCGTGCGGCTTAATTTATTTCATTCTTTTCTTGAGTGATATATTTTGTTTTTTTATTTTTGTTTATTGTGTGTGATATATTTGGTTTTTGTAGTTTAGTAGTACAATGGAAGTCCGAAGTTCTTTTAGTTTTAATACTCAATCATTGCCTACGGCATTCAAAGTAATTTTTATTATTAGGTATCCTGCAAAATGACAAACAAGATTCATTTCTAAATTACTGTTTTTCTGATTATCCGTATCTATTTTTAATTTTTATGGATAGCTTATGACAATTCAGAGAGAAAAGAATAGAGGTCTCGTTGTTTTTTATAATAATGTTACGGATTCCGACGTAAACAATAAGGTCTGCCGTTTTTAATAAGATGTTTGCCAGATCATTTTGGCAATTTTCAGTACCCGTGTGTAATATTCGGACACAAAGTTTTTTAAATGTTTTTCTAAATGAATGAATTTATCCTGGATGGGAATAATGATAGGTTTACAAGATATTGGAATTACAAAAATTACAGGAATTACAAGATAAAGTTTTCGTACCAGTCAAATCTCGCGACAAGCTTTTATATAATATAAAATTCTGTAATGACGTTATAAGTCCATAATAAAAGTAATTTTTTTCTTTTTAATGTATTTAAATAAAACCTTGTTTTTAAAAAGTTTTTTTTCTTAAATTTATTTTTTACTTTTTAGTTATTCTGGTTTCTTAGTGCCACACATTTAAACTCAATTCTTTTTCTTAAATAACTTCCTATGGGCATCCTAATAATATGTATATCGATTTTCATTAAAAAAGGAGAACTTAAAAAAACGACAGCTGTCAAATTTGACAGTTCAAATAAAATGAAAATCGACTATGGGGTAGGGAGCATCAAATATATCAATTTTTATCAAAATCGGACAACTTTGAGATTTTTTTGACAGCTCAATTTTTTTTCTTTCATTTTAACCCATGGCCATCCTATATATAGATTTTTATCAAAATCGGACAACTTTGAAATTTTTTTGACAGCTGTCAAATTTCACAGCTCATTTTTTTATCTTTCATTTTAGCCCATGGCCATCCTATATATCGATTTTTATCAAAATCCGTGAACTTTGAAATTTTTTTGACAGCTGTCAAATTTGACAGCTCAATTTTTTTTTCTTTCATTTTAGCCCATGGCCATCCTATATATCGATTTTTATCAAAATCGGATAAATTTGAATTTTTTTTGACAGCTGTCAAAAATTCGGGTCATGCTTTGCAAGAAAATGTATTGCCATCGGGACTGAACCTACATGCCAAATTTCAATTTCCTACAATGAAAGGAAGTGCTTCTAAAGATTTGCCCCGAACAAACATACATACAAAGCAAGTTAAATAAAAGCTTGTAAAATAAGCTAGGGACTGCTTTCCATTAGTAGAGATACCTCTTACCATAATAACATTAGACACCCGAGCTGGTTTAAACTCTCTGTTCCCGATTCCCCTTCTGGTCCTCAATACATACAATATTATCACGACCACTATTATAAAATAAATTGCACTTGATGATATTATTATTATATTATGATGAATATTAACAAAATTTGCTATGTCCATTGATGGACATAATTTGTACGTAGCCTCTTTAGATTGTTCAATAGATATTTTATTGGGTATTTCTTTAATTCTTGTTTGTAACTCCTGGCATGTTTTTTAATTTTAATTGTCTATTCTCTACAGTTAAATGTTTAATTGATTTTTTCATTGTTACTTTTCGAGGAGTATGCGCGGTTAACGATTCATTTGTTTAGATAAAAGTATTGTGTAAATAAAATTTAGTTTCAGTCAATTACATTTTTTTTTAATACGACCCTGTCTATCAATAGTTTATTTTCTGGGAAATTCTTTGATACGTTTTAATCCGGCCCTGACTCGGCACCCATAATGGTGTTTTCAAGGTCAAATTTTATAGAAATTTAAAACAATGGGATCTGGGCAGAGTTAGCCTGCCGTGTGATTTATATGCCGTGCTAAAAGCATGATCCTTATACAAGAATTAAGGTATTTTGCAAAGCATACCTATATCATAAAATTCTTATATATTTTGTGTTGATAAAAAAAAGTTACATTTTATTGTAATTTGTTACATTTTAGGCGGTTTGCCTGTTACATGTATAAAACTGCTTCTGGCAACACTGTGTCACAAACTGTGTGTTACTAGTAAAAGCCACTGCCAAGCTGGTTTCTGCTTGCAGTGGTGTTTTTTGTAAAAAATCTAATACTAATATATTATAATCGTAATAATTAATAATAACTTGTAATAATCTACAAAAATTAAAAATTTTTTTTTTTGTAGATTTCATTTCCAGTGGTAAAAAACGGATATTTTTGAGAAATGAACCTGCTACAAAGATATATACATTATTCCTTACTGAAATATAATTTGTTTTACGACTTACCTTTAAAAAATTCATCCTTCTTATAGTTCCCGTTGTTGAATAACCATGAATATTATAATAGCTATATTCTTCAGCTCGTTATCATCCATAAATCTTCTCCGACAACCAAAAACATTTTATCACATTCCAATCCATAACTTTTACTGCACTGGCTAATACTTAGGCTAATACTAAAAATTCAAACATAAACAATTCTTTTAACAATTTTAGGTCATTTACTAATTTATTTTTTACCGCACTGATTTTAAACGATTGGCTTTAAGTCGATAATTACCTACTTGTTTTTGTTAGCACATAATAATAAATAATCAAAATGAATATGAAACTTTGAAAATGTTTTTTACCCAAAAAATGGTAAATAAGTATTCTAAATGTAATAATTACTTATCGTTAAAATATAATATGTAATAAATAAGTGTAGCATGGCAGTGGCGTTGCTTCAGATTGAAGCAATAAGTATAAAATTAGACATAGAAAATCTGTCTAAATAATGGCTCGCCGTTTATTAATAAAGTCATCAGAGAGATTTACCAATTTTTATTTAAAATATTCATAATAGTCCGCAACAAAAAATGTTGCTTGCTTTTTATAAACGCAATCAAAGTCACCTATATTTCATATCAATTAAACCTTTAGTTACGTCAAATACGTAGAATGGCTATAGAATTTCAATGCATTTCCTACATAAGTCTATCCTTGTGTTGTAGGAGGTTTGACTAAACAAGGATGAACTTATGTCTTGAAACTATTCGACACGATTTTCTGTCCTTCAATACTGGGACCTAAATCCTCTCATTGCTCTTATGGGGAGGCCGTCGTATATTTTATTTAAAGGTATTTGAGTTACGTAATCGAGGACGCGATTTATAAATTCATTGTTGTCAACCATGCAGATATTGGAACCATGGAGCGCCAGGCTGACGAACTGAAGTTTAAATTTCGCGCTGAGGATTCAGGTGGTAGTTCTGCTGTAAAAAATGTTGCCGCATTTATTTATTTATTTCCTGACATTGTCATTCGTTTTGACACTTTAGTTTCGTATTACGAGTTTTTGGTTTAAATAAAGAGTATATGACAGTGATACTTTTAAGTTTAAAAATGTTTACTAGCAGACCTGGCAGTCGAACATTGTTCTTTTTAGAACCTCTTTTAGTACGGAGGGGTACAAGATTAGAGACAAGAGAGCTTAACAGCCGTAAAAATCTCATCGCAATTCTATTAGAATATTTTAAACGGGAAACTACTACCTACATATGTAATATACTAGATATATTATCGAGATATTATGTTTTTCAACTGGACAGTAAACAGCGGCACTCAAAAGTTTCTCCAGAAAATGTCCAGAAAAATATAAAATTTTCAACCTTTCTTTGGCAAAAAACCTCACGGGCGTGTTTCTAGGTTCGAACTATCCCTTAAAATATCTGCACTTATTTCTGGGACACCCAGTATTTAAAAAATTATAAAATATACAGGGTGGTCCGAACTGTATATTTTTTAATTTTTTCGGCAGCATATTTTGTAGATAAAAATAAATAAAAAAGTTCGTATAAATGTATATCGTAAAATGCTTAGTTTTGGAGATACAGGGTGTAGAAGTTTCATTTGTATTTCGATTTTTTCCAAATAATTTCTGCAAAGTCAATATTTGGATGAAAATTGATATCTAGGAGTCTTTTAACATGAGAAATTTAATATACATTTATACGAACTTTTTTACTTATTTTTACATGCAGAATATGCTGCCGAAGTTTCCGGAAAACAGTTCGGACCACTCTGTACATAAATTTATAAAAATATAGAAAAAAAACAAGTTTTGTGATGCAATAAATAGTTTGTGGCATGTAATAAGTCTCTCTTTTTAACAAACGGAAATAAGCTTCATATATCTACAGGGTTAGTTGATATATCTACTTGATATATCTATAAAGTGAGTAAAGAATAAGTGCAATATACTACCCCTAACACTAATAGCAATTTAGGACTCGAGAATTAACTAGCCCTATCTATACTATCTCTAAAAAGTTTTTTTTGCATATTATGTGATGTTCTATCAAATTGTATACTCGTATATACAGGGTGTTTCAAAACAAATGCGAAAAACTTCAGGGGGTGATTCCTTGTTCAAAATAAAGGGTAGTTTGCTTTATAAACGTTGGGTCAAAAGTCAACCATTAGGGAGATATCGCGATACAAAGATGGCGGAAAAATAATAATTTTTTATCTTGAAAACGAAAAGAGATAGACTAATGAAATTTTACGGAAGCATTACTCTTATGAAAACACACTTTCTGGCAATTTTTTCACTTTTTTAAAATGAGTGGAAGGGGCTGAAATAAACTACCCCTATCATTCTTGTTAATGAAATTTAAAGTAAAATCTTATCAAACACATGCAAAAAAAATTAATTTTGATAGTTTAGTTTATTTAGAAACTTTTTTATCTCTTGTGTTATCTCTTTTTTTGATAAAACTCACCGATTTAAAATTAAAAAATAAAATGTAAAGCATTACATGGCAGGACAAAAAACATTTTTAGATAAAGAATCTAGTTGGCAGCTGTAATTTTTTTAGGAAAAAATCTAGTCGGCCGCTGTCACTTTTTAGGATGTTTCTAATATTGTTTTATTTGACATTACCCTACTGCAATACGTTATTATCTAGATTATTATTATTATCATTATTATCACTAGATTCTTAATCTAAAAATATTTTTAGTCCTGACACGTAATGCTTTACATTTTATTTTTTAATTTCAAATCGGTGAGTTTTATAAAAAAAATACAAGAGATAAAAAAGTTTCTAAACAAACTAAATTATCCAAATTAGTTTTTTTGCATGTGTTTGATAAGATTTTTCTTTAAATTTCGTTAACGAGAATGATAGGGGTAGTTTATTTCAACCCCTTCCACTCATTTTAAAAAAGTGAAAAAATTACCAGAAAGTGTGTTTTCATAACAGTAATGCTTCCATAAAATTTCATTAGTCTATCTCTCTTCGTTTTCAAGATAAAAAAATAAGAACATTATTTTTCCGCCATCTTTGTACCGCGATATCTCCCTAATGGTTGACTTTTGACCCAACGTTTATGAAGCAAACTACCCTTTATTTTGAACAAGGAATCACCCCCTGAAGTTTTTCGCATTTGTTTTGAAACACCCTGTATATCTTGATTTGATCTAATGTTATAATGGTATTTTTCACATCTTAAAAGAAGGTATAACGGAAGTAACTTAGTTTTAATTTTCAAGGGTGTCCCAATATTCCGTGGACCTACAACTACTATGTATATTCGTGTCAAATACTCGTCAGCGAGTAGTGGCAGTACGTATGTATATTCGGAATCAAAATAAGTTCATTGGACACAATTTTACCTCTATACAAAAGTACTTCATTTGTCCTCTAGAGGGCATCAAACTTTAGAAAACCCCTACATAAATTTTAGTATAGAGGATCAAGCACCCTCTGAAGAATTAAGCGATAGCAAGCTTGGTCTATTCCTTATTAATATTCAGTCCTTAAGACATAAAACAGATGAATTATATCTTTTACTAGAAGAACTTGAATTTCCAGATATCATTGCCATAACTGAGCACTGGTTGAATTTTGATGAGCCTGTGTTTATTAAAAATTATACCACTGTAGCCAGATTTGATAGAACAAATTTTTCTCATGGAGGTACTATGATAATGTCTTTAAACAACGACTTTTCCGAGGTAACTAGGTACAATGATTTGTTATCTGAAAAAAGTATTCGAATTTTCCATTGTCCACCATAATGCTTATGACCTTTACATTATTTGTATTTATAGAACACCTGACTCTGACGTGCAATTATTCTGTCATAATCTACTAAGCTTGCTTGAGTCCCTGCCCTTGAAAAGCAAATTAATTTTGTGTGGTGATCTTAATATTGACTTTCTTAGTGTATGTGCTGCTCAGGAGTTTCTTCAGTCCATTTTTGATTCTTTTGAATGGTCATGCATGTAGGCTCACCTACCAGAATATCAATACCAGTTCTAGTACTATAGACTATGTTGTGTCATCTTTTGATCCTAACTCCATCGCCTGCAACGTCTTTAGCTCGGGTCTCTGATCATGAAGCAGTTTTAACTGAATTTTCGATAAAGTCCAAAATCAAAAATGCCCCTCGTAAATTATGCCGTATTTTTTCAGAAAAGAATGCTCAAAAGTTCGGCCACTTATGTAAAAACAACCAACTGGGATACTAGCTCTTATGATGTCGACACCGAATTTTCTATTTTCGTAAAAACATTAACCAGTCTAGCGTTCAAATCCTTTCCTCTTAGGCCTATAAAAATAAGCATAATAAACCTTGGACCACTAAAGGTCTACGCATATCTTCTAAAAACATGCGTTCATTATCTCACTTAAAAAATTCTCAACAGTCTCTTCTTCCACAATTACGTAAAACTATACAGAAAAATTTATCATAAGACTATAAGAGCCGCTAAGGACCTTTATTATAATAGGAGAATAGTCAATTCTGGTAATGTTGCTAAGGAAACATGGTCTATTGTGAATGAGTTGAGAAACAAAGCTTTTCTTCGTCTAGCAATATCTCTACCTCGCCTGAGAACCTTAACGATTACTTTGTAAATGTAGCGAAAAACTTAACTAATACCATATGTCCTCCTCATGATCCACTTTCTTATCTCTCTAATGATAATGTAAACTTACACAGTTTCTTTTTTTCGCCCGTAGTTCTTGAAGAGCTTCGGAGTACAATTAATACCATCAAAAATAAATCCTCTTCTGGGACCGACGGGCTAACTTTAAAAATGTTTTCGAATCTGCCAGAAAGCACTCTGAATCACCTAACAACTTTAATAAACATGTCGTTCCAAAATGGTGTTTTTCCAAAATGTCTTAAGACGGCAATAATCATTCCTCTGCACAAAGGAGGAGACAAAGATGAAGCTTCTAACTATCGCCCAATTGCACTCCTTCCAACGCTATCTAAGATCATAGAAAGGTTGGTTAAAAGAAGGCTGGTATCTTTTCTGTTTAAGTACGAAATACTTACTGAATATCAATTTGGATTTCTAAGCAACAAGTCCACAAATGACGCTATGTTTTCCCTCCTTAATAAAGTTTACTCCAGCCTAAACAACCATCATTCTACAGCAACAATTTTCTGTGATTTTTCT